AAAAATATATATATATATATATATATATAGCTGCTTCCTTCAACTCTTCCTCCAGCTGCTTCCGTCCCTTCCTGCCCAGCACAAAGCCCATTGCCCATCCCCACCCCCCGCCCCCCTGACTGCCACCTCCCCTTCTGCTTTTATCCCCACTTCCGCCCTTGCACATGTGTGGCCCTATGGCCCACTGGTTCTCGTGTTCCAAGCTTTTCCGGAGCTGGGCTCCAGGATCTGGCCACTTGAACAGTATGACCTTGGGCAAGTGGGTGACTTAGCCTTTCTGGGCAGCAATCATAGATTCCCCTACGAGATGACTCGTAGGCGGCGCCAGTGAGAGAAGTCAGTGAGTGGCAGGGGAACAACAGACAGGTAACCCCCTTCTTCCTTTGTTAAAGTTTCCCTGAGCAGCATCACAGTTTCACAGGACAGAACATTTTCAGTTTTCTCACACACACAGTCTAAAGTTACGGACTCATGATATATTATTTTATGTAGCTTAAGGGAATTTAAAGGTTGTTTTTGTTTTGTTTCTTTGTTTTGTAAGCGAGGCTCATACTGACCACAAATTTGGGCAACTGGTCTTTGATCTGTAAGTATAAACAGATATTTGTGGACTAAATCTAAACCCCACCCATCACAGGCCTCTCTAGAGGCCCTGACTCGGCTTCTAGCATTTCCAGCCAACAAGGATTTCTCTTTTTCCATCACAGCCTGTGCAGCTGGCTGTCTCTACCGACCCCCTAGGACTTGACCACGTCCAGTTCATACCGTCCTGGATTTGAGACCTTACATTTATTAGGTCCCTTATAATTCCTTATGAACGCAGGCAACCTTTAACGGCTCAGCAAATGTGGCCACTTTGCCCAGAGGTCTGTCTGCATCCAGGATCCCATCATTGTGTTAGAGCCAGGAGAGAAGCATAGTTGAAAGCGTGTGACTTGCCTGAGGAAGTCTGAAGGAAAGGGAATGGCCTGGGCCAGGCCTGGAAGCAGAAGCCGAGAAACAGCTTCAAGGAAGGACTTGTGATGAGAAAGCTGGAAGCACTGGGCCTCCAGAGGACACAAGTGCTGCCTCAACGGGAGATTTGGGGCAATAAAATTTTTAAGCCCCAATGTTGCCAAAAAACCCTGATGCTGGGAGGGATTGGGGGCAGGAGGAGAAGGGGACGACAGAGGATGAGATGGCTGGATGGCATCACTGACTCGATGGGCATGGGTTTGGGTAAACTCTGGGAGTTGGTGATCGACAGGGAGGCCTGGCATGCTGTGATTCATGGGGTTGCAAAGTCAGACACGACTGAGCCACTGAACTGACCTGAATATTGCCAAAGATGCTTATAAACACGTGAAATTTACTTATTTTCCTAATATTTTGTTTATTTATTTGGCTGTGAAGTGAACTGAAAGTTGCTCAGTCGTGTCCGATTCTTTGCAACCCCGCGGACTGTATAATCCATGGAATTCTCCAGGCCAGAATACTGGAGTGGGTAGCCTTTCCCTTTTCCAGGGGATCTTCCCAACCCAGGGATTGAACCCAGGTCTCCTGCATTGCAGGCGGATTCTTTACCAGCTGAGCCACAAGGGAAGCCATTATATGGGTCTTAATTGCAGCATGCAGAAACCTTTTTTTTTTTTTTAAGAAGTCGAAGAGAGGAGGCTTATTTTATATTTTTTTTATTTATTTCTTTATTTTTGGCTGTGCTGGGTCTCCATTGCTGCACAGGTTTTTCTCTAGCTCTAGCAAGCCAGGGCCACTCTCTAGTTGCAGTGCACGGGCTTCTTGCATCATGCGGGATTTTTAGTTTTGGAATGTGAACTCCTAGTTGCAGCATGTGCAATCTAGTTTCCTGACCAGGGATTGAACCCAGGTCCCATGCATTGGGAGCTCGGAGTCTTACCCACTGAACCACCAAGGAAGTCCTAGGAGTAAACTTCTTACTCCTTTTGCAGCATCTCTTACATGAGATTCTGTCTGAACTGGTCCAACCATTGCACTGACAGCCAACTGCTGTGCTCAATGGCGCCCCCTGCCTGTGCTGTAGAGAAGAGGGAAGGGAGTGTCTGCCATCTGCTTGTCTTCAGGGAGGACTAAGCCCGAAGGGGAAAGGATCCTGTGTTAGTCTCTTGCGGCTGCCACAACCAATTACCACGTATTGGGTGGCGTAAAACAATAGACATTTGTTCCGTCACAGTCCTGGAGGCCAGAAGGTCAAAATCAAGGTGCCAGCAGGGCCATGCTCGCTTTGGACAGTCCATCCTCACCTCTTCCTAGCTTCTGGTGTTTCTGGTCCAGCTTCCTAGGTTTTGGTGGTGGTCCTTCGCACTCCTTGGCTTGTAGGCACATCCCTCTGGTGTCTGCCTCCATCTTCACATGGCTTCCTTCTCCCCGAGTGTCTGTGTCCCTGGGTTTTCACATGGTTTTCTTATAAGCACACCAGTCACCCTAATCCAGTAAGACCTCATCAACTATCTCTGCAAAGATACTATTTCAAATGACATCATGTTCACAGGGGCTGGGGGATTTGAACTCCAACGTATCTTTTCTGCTGAGACACAATTCCTCCCACAACAGAGCTTGTGCTGTTAAAGAATTTGAGTCTGGCTCACAGACCTATGCCTTGTGAGACTAACTCACAGTTACCGAAGGGGCTGTGGTGGGGTGAGAGAGAAAGTCAAAGTGAGGTCGCTCAGTCATGTCTGACTCTTTGCAACCCTGTGGACTGTAGCCTACCAGGCTCCTCCGTCCATGGGATTTTCCAGGCAAGAGTACTGGAGTGGGCTGCCATTTCCTTCTCCAGAGATAAATTAGGAGTTTGGAATTAACATATACACACTACTATATATAAAAATAGGTAAACAAGGATTTCCCTGGTGGTTCAGTGGTTAAGACTTGGTGCTTCCAATGCAATGGGTGCCAGTTGGATCCCTGGTCAGGGAACTAAGATCCCACATGCCACGGGCAACTAAGCCCATGCACTTGTATGCCGCAGTGAAGACCCAGTGCAGCCAAAAGTAAAAATAAAAGAAAAAACAAAAGAAGTGATCCTTAAAATTTTAGGTGTGATCATCTTAATAGTATGATGGTTAATATTCAGAGTCTTTTTTTCCCCTTAGAGATTTTACTGGAATATTTACTGGTAAAATAGCATAACACCCGGGACTTACTGCAGATAATCCAGGAAGCAGGGGAATCAGTAGCCAATAGTAAAAAGCAAAGGTCAGCACACCAGGCATGTGCTCAGTTGCCAACTCTTTGCGACCCCATGAACTGTAGCTCGGCATGCTCCTCTATCTGTAGGACTTTTCCAGGCAGGAACACTGGAGTGGGTTGCCATCTCCTTCTCCAGGGGATCTTCCCAACCGGATTGAACCCACATCTCCTGCATTGGCAGGTGGATTATTTACCACTGAGCCACCAGAGAAGCCCCAGAACACTAGAGGCGCAGGCCAAATCCAGACCACCTCCTGATTTTGTAAATAAAGTTTTATTGGAATGCAGCCACAGTCATTCGTGTCTGTTTCACTGAGGCTGCTTTCTCAATCCAGTGGCAGAGTTAACATTTGCGATGGAGACCTTGTGACCTGCAAAGGCTAAAATATTTACTAACTGCCTCTTCACAGAAAATGTGTGTGACCCCTCATCCCTAAGACAGCATGTTTGGCTACAAGTTCATAATCATTGGTGCTGGGGACCGACTATATGAGGACTTATTAGACGGACCATTACATTGATGTGTGCTTGGACTTTTCCATGATGAAAAGTTAAAAACAAAAATGAAAAACGTGGAGCCAGTGATCTCACCCCTTATACTCTATTCCTTGGAAATGAAAGCATCAGTTAATAAGGATATATATATATATATAAGAATGTTTACTGAAAGAGTTTAGTGGAAATAAATTTCCTCCCAGTACGGGTTGCTATAAATCACATCCACCCACACTGTGGAATATTATGTTATCTTTTTAAAGAATGAGCTGGAGTTTTACCGGTTGACTTGGAAAACAATTCATGGGATATTTTCAAGTGAAAAAGCAAGATGTAAAAAAGTCTGCGCATGACAGTCCCAGTTTTATAGGACAAAGTTAACCCTTCAGAATGTGGGAGTGTGTGTGCGTGTGTGTGTGCGTGTGTGTGCGTGTGTGTGTGCGCGCGTGTGTGCGTGTGTGTGTGTGTGTGTGCGCACGCACGCGAAGGTACATGTAGGGTGTACGTGTACGTGTAGGGTACATAACAGGTTGTTAACATGAGTTGGAATAGAATGACATTTGTGGAAGTGAGCAAAACAGAAAAAGACTGTTACTTCAAAAACCAGGCTACCTGATACCATCCTCTGTGTATGTAGAAATTATATTTATGTGTGTAACGTGCTTTGCCAACTTTAAAAGAGAATTATGATTTTGAAAACAACCGGAAAGGAGTGAATATTTGTCATGCCTTGTAAGTAAGGAAATAAAAGGGAGTTTGCTTGGAAGTTGGAAAGTGCCCAAGAGCAGGGAGACGAGAGGAGAGTGACCACTGTCAACCGAGCCAGCTAGGGGAGGCTCCATGGAAGGTTCTAGCTGCGGGAGGGTGGCGGGGGGTGTGCGTCCGGATGGTCTTTGAGCCACAGCCCCTCCCTGATCTCAGCGCCTCTTCCTCCTGCTCCCGGAGAAATAATGTTTCCCCGGGGGATGAAAGGCATCCCTTTGTGCAGGCTTTAATTGGCATGTTGTTGTGCCAAGTGAATGAGTGGCAGGCGGGCGCAGCAGCTGGGCACAGCCAATGCCAGGCAGCAAAGCCCGCTGCCTTAGGACAGCCCGGGCCAGCTGGCCTGGGAGCGCTGCCCGCCTCTGCCCCCCACGGTGGGGGGTGGGGGCCGGGCCTGCAGGGGGACAGGGGGGTCTGCGGAGAGAGAGGAGTCGTTGGAGGGAGGGGAAGGGGCGGGGTGTCTGGGAGGGTCTCAGCCACTGTCAGAAGCTTATTCATCTCATCCTCCTTTCCCCTCCCCCCTCCTTGTTTTTCAGACTGTCAGCATCAATAAGGCCATTAATACACAGGTAGTGGCCGTCAAGGAAAAACACGCCAGAAATATCCTTTTGGAGGTTGCTCCGAAGACCGACCCCGAGGGGAATCAACTCATGGGGACAGAGGTCAGGGCGAGGCGTCCTTGCTCAGCTGGAGGAACGGGCATCCCCCCTCCAGCCAGGCTCCTGCAGGGTCTGAACACTGTGGGTTGGCAGCAGCTGGCTTCAGAGCCCACAGCCTGTCGGGGTGGAAGGGACCACAGCAGCCATCCAGCCCAGTCCCGCTCCTCTCCTGTGACTTAGCTTTGCAGAACTGCCAAGACCTTTGAAGTTATTCTCCTTTGAGATGTTTCCTCGGGGTACAAGAGGTCTTCTCCCCTGTATCATCAAAGGACTCTGGCCCTGCACTTTCCACCCTGACCACCCCTTGGGGACCTGATCAAATGCCTTTGTCTGAGCATGAAAGCAGAACAGCAATCTGGGCGGCAGTGGTTGGCCTTAAGCTGACACAGGGGTTCTACCATGGAACTATGAGCCTCTTGAGTGAGCTGGTTCAGCCCAAACTGGAGGGAAGAAGATGGGAAGGTCAGGACGGACTAGGGCAGTGGTCCCTAACCTTTTCGGCACAGGGACCGGTTTCATGGAAGACGGTTTTTCCACAGACAGGGCAGGCGGTGGTTTCAGGATGATTCAAATACATACATTTACTATGCTCTTTATTTCTGTTATTACATCAGCTCCACCTCTGATCATCAGGCATTAGATCCTGGAGGTTGGGGACCCTAGGGTTAGAGGACTGATGATTTGACCCCCACCCCCTGCCATGCAGAGTTGGCAGAAGCCTTGGCTTCCCCGATGGCTCAGTGGGTAAAAGAATCGGCATGCAATGCAGGAGCCGTGGGTTCGATCCTTGGGTCAGGAAGATCCCCTGGAGGAGGAAATGGCAACCCACCCCAACATTCTTTCCTGAAAAATCTCATGGACAGAGGTGCCTGGCAGGCTACAGTCCAAAAGGTCACAAGGAACTGGACACAGCTGAGCATGTACGACAGGACTGGGCGGCCACCGTCAGGGGCCTGTGGCTTTGGGGAGAAGTGCAGGCAGCACTCTGGCCCGTGGATCCCTCGGGAACTGCTCTTGAGATCAAGTCCAGGTGCCAGAGGGCTGATCCCCAAAGGCCAGAGGAGAGGCTGCCAGTGGCCGAAGCCTTTGTGTTTGCTGAGACGGAGCAGAGGGCGGGGGGAGGCTGGGCTTCTCTCTGGGCTGGGAAGCTCCTTCTTGCCAGGGTTCAGCAAGGTGACTGCCCCACAGCTAGTCAGGTTGGAATAGTCTGTCTTGAAGCCATCCCACCCCAGCCCCTCTGTGCAGGAGACCCACCAGGTTAGAAATGCCAAGGAAGCATGGTGCTGCCAGGGCGATGCCCAGGAGAGGTCAGGCCCTCAGGAAATGTCGCTCATAGCACGTACTGCTCTTCAGCGGCGAGAAAGCAGCTTGTCTTGAGTGGAAGATGCTCTGGTTGGATTTAGGGCTTTGCTCCAAGATGAACCCCTACCGGGTACCCCAGAAAACTGGCCCAGCAGTGAGCCTCACCAGGCCCTGCCCTTTTACACCCTTGTTGTTTTACTGAGTCAAGAAAACCAAACCAAGAAAAGCCTTCATTATTCGTGTCTTCTCAGATGGCTCAGCGGGTAAAGAACCTGCCTGCAGTGCAGAAACACAGTAGACGTGGGTTTGATCCCTGGGTTGGGAAGATCCCCTGGAGAAGGAAATAGCAACCCACTCCACTATTCTTGCCTGAGACATCCCATGGACAGAGGAGCCTGGTGGGCTATAGTCCATGGGGCTGCAAAGAGTCGGACACGACTGAGTGACTAATGTGTGAATCAGATTAGTGTCCCAGTAGAGTTACCAAGGCCTGACTCTTCCCTGTGAAGAATACCAGTCGGTCAGTCTGGTGTGAGATACGAAGAGAGAGACGGCTGTCACGGGCCGGCGTGCCCCCCTGAATGCGGTGAGTACAGAGAACGCCAGGGTACACCTTGCCAGGGAAGCACCCTGGGGCAATGGGAGGGACCTGGAGGAAGATAGCGGAATCCCATCTTAGCTCTCCGACTTGCTCTGGGACCTTGAATGGGCCCGGTGAGGCTTCTGCAACCCTTAACTCCCTTGTCTGTCAAATGAGAGTGTCGGCCAAAGAAGCTTCCAGAAGCTAACATTCCAGCTCTGACTTTCTGGGAATCTCTCTGCCTCCCAGTTGCTAAGGAGTGAATAAACGTTGAAAAGATCCCCTCCATGCAGTTTGAGTTTTAAAGCCTAAAAATCTCACAGAACAGTTATTCTTTATAGGTACTTTTTTTTTAAATTGGAGTATAGCTGCTTTGTATAGTTAGTTTCTGCAAAGTGAATCAACTGTTCAGTTCAGTCCCTCAGTTGTGTCCGACTCTTTGCGACCCCATGGACGCCAGCACTCCAGGCTTTGCTGTCTAGCACCAACTCCCGGAGCTTACTCAGACTCATGTCCATCGAGTGTGATGCCATCCAACCATCTCATCCTCTGTCGTCCCCTTCTCCTCCTGCTCAATCTTTCCCAGCATCAGGGTCTTTCCCAATGAGTCGGTTTTTCGCATCAGGTGGCCAAAGTATTCATTCGCATCAGGTGTCCACTCCTGGAGGGCTGGGGAGTGGGTCTTATTTTTCTTTATATCCCTGAGTCCCTGACATGAATTGGATGCATTTAGATGCTTTTAAAATTGAAGACAGACAGAGGGGTCTGCTTGCCTGTTTCCACGCTGGCGTGCCCAGCCAGCTCCATGCCTGCCCTGGCTCCTGTTTGGCAGATTGCTCTTGGGTAAAGGGCTTCCCTGGTGGCTCAGATGGTAAAGAATCCGCCCGCAATGCGGGAGACCTGGGTTCGATCCATGTGTTGGGAAGATCCCCTGGAGGGGGGAATGGCTACCCACTCCAGTATTCTTGCCTGGAGAATCCCTGTGGACAGAGGAGCCCGGTGAGCTACAGTCCATGGGGTTGCAAAGAGCCAGACATGACTGAGCGATTAAGCACAGCAAAGGAACCACTGTCTGCCTCGAGAAGTCATCTCAAGAGAGGGTAGGGGGCTGGCTGTCTCTCCTCTTGGCTTCCTTCTAGTCCAAGGGGGCTGTGCTTGAGGTGAAACTAAGTTCAGAAATCACTCTCTTAAGAACAAAGGTTGGGGACTTACCTGGTGATCTAGTGGCTAACACTCCACGCTCCCACTGCGGGAGGCCCGGGTTCAAGCCCTGGTCAGGGAACTAGATCCCACAAGCCACATCTGAGAGCCGACACAACCAAATAAGCAAATTAAAAAAAAATTTTTTTTTTAATTTTAGTTATCTATATATTTATTTTTGGCCTTGCTGGGTCTTTGTTGCTGCTTGGGCTTTTCTTCAGTTGTGGCAAGTGGGGGCAACTCTTCATTGAAGTGCACGGGCTTCTCATTGCAGTGTTTTCTCTTCTTGGGGAGAATGGGCTCTAGGCATGCAGGCTCACTCGGTGGAGTTCCCCTGGCTCTAGAGCTCAGGCTCAGCAGTTGCGGCGCATGGGCTTAGCTGTTTTGAGGCATGTGGGATCTTCCCAGATCAGGGATCGAACCCACATCTCATGCATTGACAGTCGGGTTCTTTACCACTGAGCCACTAGGGAAGCCAAAAAATTTTTGTTTTAAAGGGTGATTTCAGCTTCCAGACCCAAAATTGTGTGTTCAAGGTGACCCCTCTCAAAATACAAATGTCAGTCAGTCCAGGGAGGGAATTTTACCACACCTTCTAGCTCAGAGGCAAAATAGCATGTCTTTTGGGTAGGTCCCATAGTTTCTAACCTGAGGCAAGTCTTTCCTAAATGGTGCAGTGCCTCTTACTTGAGCCTGAACGTGCTGTGCTAAGTCACCTCAGTTGTGTCTGACTCTGTGACCCTATGGATTCTAGCCCACCAGGCTCCTCTGTTCATGGGATTCTCCAGGCAAGAATCCTGGAGTGGGTTGCCATGCCCTGCTTCAGGGGATCTTCCTGATCAAGGGATCAAACCTGCATCTCTATGTCTCTTGCATTGACAGGAGGGTTCTTTAACACTAGCGCCACCTGGGAAGCCCAAGACCGGATTGTACTTGGGATTGATGATGCCCAAATACTGGGTGTGTGAGGCCTGTGCAAACTTCCATCACAAAAGAAATGTGGAAATCCTCTACTTTCCTCCAGAAGGGTTCCCTAATTACAGAGGCCTGGAGGTCTGTTAAAATCACTCGAGGCCAGAAGGACATTTATTAAACGCAAACCGTGGCAGGTTGTGCCATGGGTCACAGGTATGTTTGAAACTGGATCTCGGGGGCAGAATTCCGCACACAGGCAATTTAAGGTGTTAGAAGATGACGGCATCCCTGAGCGAGGCCAGGAAGGTTTTTAGAAGATGCTGAGTGAAAGAGTCGTTTTCTGTTTTTTTTTCTTTGCTGTGCCACAAGGCATATAGTATCTTAGTTCCTTGACCAGGGATCAAACCAGCGCCCCCTGCAGTGGAAGCACATAGTCTTAACCCCTGGACTGCCAAGGAAGTCCCAAGAGTCATTTTAAATTTAGAGAAAATATTAATATATTTTAAACAAAGACTGCCGCTTTCAGGGTAAGAGCAGAGTGGTTAACAGGACAGAAATCAGGTGCTACTTGCAACAGGAACCAAGGTGTCAGTAGCCAGGGCCCTTGAAGAGCTGAAGCACGCCCTTGTTTTTGAATAGTGGATAAGAGGGAATTTTGAGAAGCCATATTGTGTTGCTAAAATATTAGCTGCAGTAATGCCCCCCGCAAAGGCCCCAACACAAACTCAGAAAATCTAAAGGGCAGAGTCTCCCTTTCCACAGCAAAGTCCTAATTCCAACCAAAGCATCTTCCCACGAAAGGTCAGCCAGGACCACTGCTGGCCCAGCACTTACTTTGCAAATTAGGAAAGGCGCCTTTTTGCCATCCGTCAAAAAGTTGCCGATACCTGCCCAGCACTCCATGGGGTCGCTAAGAGTCGGACACGACTGAGCGACTTCCGTTTCATTTTTCACTTTCATGCATTGGAGAAGGAAATGGCAACCCACTCCAGTGTTCTTGCCTGGAGAATCCCAGGGACGGGGGAGCCTGGTGGGCTACCGTCTGTGGGGGTCGCACAGAGTCGGACACGACTGAAGCGACGACGCAGCAGCAGCCTCAGCAGTCCAGATCCATGGTGCCTTTGTTACAAGCGGCGCCCCCTGCTGGCTAGTGCTGGGGCGCCATGAATAAGGCACCGCCCCCATGGCAGCCTGCTGCAGGCCGCATCCAGGGTTGGTACCCAGGCAGGCCCCGTCCGCGCCTTTGTTTTCCATGACCCTCCTTCACCGTGCATACTGGGCACCCACCACGAGAAGGGAGCGCAGACCTTTTGGTCTGTTGTCAACCGGCTGCCCCTGTCCAGCAACGCAGTACTCTGCTGGAAGTTCTGCCACGTGTTCCACAAACTTCTCCGGGATGGACACCCAAATGTGAGTGCTTGGGGCTGCAGCGGAGGGGCGGGGAGCCTGGGACCCACGTGGGGAAAGTGCAGTTGCCTGAGTCACGGGGGCCACTGTCCACCCCTGCACTGGGGATGGCAACTGCCCCCATCTCCTGGCCTTCTGGGTACCAATTTCAGAGACGGGTTCATCTCTCTCCCGTCCCCATCATCTCTGCCCCACTGCAGACCCACCTTTCACCAGCCTCTGTCTCCTCTCCTTCTCTTCCCTCTCCAGGTTCTCAAGGACTCTCTGAGATACAAAAGCGAATTGAGCGACATGAGCAGGATGTGGGTGAGTTTGAACCCGCTCCTTGGGGCCACCTGTACCGCCTCGTCCTTCCGCAGAGGCCACAGAACAAGGAGTGTGGGATAGAACAAAGTCATCTCTTTTACCTTGTTTTGGATTTCTCTCACAAGCATCAGGGAGGGGTTCAGGGATGTCCCCACATGGAACCATGATATTCGCAGTCTTACCTGGAGTTCCTGGCAACTGTTGGGAGGTTTCAGGGCCAAAGAGTTTCTCCTGCCAATGGAAGCTCATGTCACAGTGCTTGCTCTCTGGGCCCTGGGATCCCTTGGCAGTGACACTGTCATAGTTCCTACTTCTTTCCTTCTCTTGGTCCCATTGGAGTCATAGCACCTTGAGAACTGGCATTCCCAATCTAAAAGCCAGTGGTTTTTCTTTCCTGGTTAGGGATTCTTGGTGCCTTAGGAAGAGGGAGGAGGTAGGTGGCAAGATCTGAATGCGTTGAAAAGAGTGTTTTTATATACATACCAGAATCCCTCTAGATTCAAGGAGTATGTGCAAGGACAGGAGGTAACCTGCTTTCTGAAGAATCTCCCCAGTGGACGCTGATGTGTCTTTTTTGTCCCACTGGATAAGAACTGCTATGTTAGCCCTTTCCTTAAAATTCATACCTGTATCTGTCTGCCCTCACAAAATGTTAGCAATTATGTAGTCCAATCTACCCATTATAGAAGAGAAATACAGACCCAGAGAAAGGAAGCAGCTTTTCCTAAGTCATAAGACTAGTTAATCTGAACAGAGCAGAGATTTACCCCCCAAGCTCCCAACTGTGTGCTAGAGAGTTTTCTGTTAAATTTCTGTAACATGGAAAGCTTAGGTCTTTTTCTTTTTTGTAGAATTTACCTGGTATATCTTTTTCCATCCTTTTACTTATAACTTTTTATATTTTAAATAGTTTTTACATGTATATGTATTGCATTGTGACTAGAGAATCAATATGTTGATATTTCAAAGTTTTTTGAGCCTTGCTGTATAAGCTAGTTCATGGTCAGTTTTTCTTTAATTGAACTGTAATTGACTTATAATATTAGTTTCAGATGTACTGCATAGTGATTGACTGACTTTTCTGTAATCTTTTGTCTTAGAAATGTATTTGTCAATAGCATTTCGTTGGATTCTTTAAAAATTCAAGATGGCAGTCTTTGTCTTTTAACTGGAACTTTACTCTGTTTACATTTATTATAATGGGTAATATCTTTAGACTTTTATCTCCTGTCTTATTTTATGCTATTTGTCCTATCTGTTTTGTTTCTATTTCTCTCATTGTTTACCTTCTTTTGGATTGATTGGGTATTTTCTTTCTCATTCAGTTTCCCCCTCATTACTAGTGGGAAGATAAAAAAATAAAAGCAGAGGTTTTTTTTTTTTAATCTGTTGATAATGTTATCTAAAAATTACAAAGGGTATGCTTAGGCTATCATTGTCTAAAATTCATGTCTTTGTTTCCTGTATAGCAAAGACCTTAGAATATTTTAACACCATTCGTTCCCTCATATGCTGTTGTCATATTTTAATTTTGGTTGTTTTGGTTGTTTTTAGACCCTATATTTTATTTTAATTGTTGTATTTGGCGCTCTTCATCTCCTCTTACATCTCAGAGCGTGCATTCTTTCTGCCTGAATTATTTCCTTTAGAACTTCCTTTAGTGAGAGTCTGCTGGTGGGAAACAACCACTTTTACTTGATGGAGAATGTCTTTATTTCACCCTCATTTATGGGAGATATTTTCTCTGACTTTAGAATTCTGGGATGATAGTTCTTTTAGCACATGGAAGATATTAGTCAAGATACCCTTCCACTGGCTTATGGCTTCCTTCATTCTTATGAAGTCTGCTGTCAACCTCATCATTGTTCTTTGAAGCTAATCTGTATTTAGTTTTTCTGTTTTTAAGTTCTTATTATGTATCTAAGTGTGAATTTAGTTTAGATTCTTTGGACTTCTTAAATCTGTAGGTTATTATCTTTTATTAGTTTTGAAAAGTTCTCATTGTCTTTTCAAATACTGCCTTTGCTTCATTCTGTCTTTTCCTCTGAGACTCTGGTTAGCAGCATTTTCAACTTTCTCACTATGTCCATGCCTTTAAACGACTGTTTCATTTTTTTTCTACCTGTTTGTCTCTGTACTGCATTCTGGATAATTTCAGTAGATCTAGTGTTCGTCTCACTTATTCCCCTTTCAATAAGGTCTAATCTGTTGCTAAACCTCTCCATAAGGTTTTCAATTTTAGTGTCATTATCATTTCTTGGAATTCTAGGTTTTGTTTTGTTTTCAGATCTGCTTGGCACTCTTTATAATTTATTGTGCCCTGCATATATTTTAAAACAGTCTCTAATTTATTTAGGCTTATTAAATATATGATTTCATATATCACTTTTTATACTTCCAGTATCTAAAGTCCTTAGAGATCTGTTTCTGCCATCTGTTGTTTTGGTGAATTTTTTTCATGCTATGTAGTTTCTTTTTGTGCTTAGTTATTTTTCTACTGTGAATTGCTCATTTTCCTGGAGATTTTTTTCAGTGGGAATTCTTTGAATTCTAACAAAGGCAGGTTCCTCCAGAGAGAATTGGCATTTGCGTCCATTGAGATCACTCTAAATTAAATTCTCAACTTAAAAGTTTTATGAATTCTGAGCAGATCCCCTTGATAACTAGCTCATGGTTCAATTCTTGGAAGTCGTTTTTCCCTCCCTCTGATCATAACAGTGGTTTAAGGCAGTGGATTTTCTTTGCAGTCCTCGGGGGGACCCCTTCAGTGCAGAAGTACGTGTGTGTTATTTCCAATTTACCCTTAATTCCTCTGCACCAAGAAGGCAGTTGGCTGTTCCCCTAGACTCTTCAAGTTGGGCAGGTGAGAGCCGTGCCTCCAGTTCACCACCTGGCTCTGGAGACTCAGAAAGCCAAAACTCAGGGTCATTCGGTATGAGAAAGAATCTCCCTGCCCCCACCCCCATTTTGACCCCGTCAAGTCATTTGCTCTCTGAATATCTGAATTACTCAGTTTCTGCTCTGAAGATTCCTTAGTCTCTTGCTAGCTCATTAATACCTTCAAAGTGTTTTTAATGTCTCATTCAATATTGTTAGTAGTGTTCAGTGGGAAGGTCAACCCTGATACCTAGCCCACCTGCCTTATCCAAAATATAATTCTTCTATGTTGTCTGTCTCTTCCATTTGACTAAGACTTTCTGAACTTAGAAGCCTCTTTTAGTTTTTTTTTTTAATTAAGACCTTTTGTTTTTTTAAAGCAGCTTTGTGACCCCATGGACTATAGAAAGCAGTTTTAGGTTCGCTGAAAAACTGAGTGGGAAGTACAGAGATTTTCCATGTACCCAGCATCCAAACATGCATTATAGCCTCCTCTACTATCAGCATCCTCCACGACAGTGGTGTATTTGCTGCAGTGAATGAACCTACTGACACATCCATCATAATCACCGAAGTCTATAGTTTACAATACAGTTCACTCATGGTTGTTGTACATTCCTTGTTGTTGTTAGTCGCTAAGTCGTGTCCAACTCTGTGACCCCTTTGACTGTAGCCCCCCAGGCTCCTCTGTTCATGGAATCAGTTCAGTTCAGTTCAGTGGCTCAGTCGTGTCTGACTCTTTGCGACCCCAGGGACTGCAGCACGCCAAGCTTCCCTGTCAATCACTAACTCCCGGAGCTTACTCAGACTCATGTCCATCAAGTCGGTGATGCCATCCAACCATCTCCTCTGTCACCCACTTCTCCTCCTGCCTTCAGTCTTTCCCAGCATCAGGGTCTTTTCCAATGAGTCAGTTCTTCGTATTAGGTGGCCAAAGTATTAGAGCTTCAGCTTCAGCATCAGTGCTTCCAATGAATATTCAGGACTGATTTCCTATAGGATGGACTGGTTAGATCTCCTTGCAGTCCAAGGGACTCTCAGAGTCTTCTCCAACACCACAGTTCAAAAGCATCAATTCTTTGACTGTCAGTCTTCTTTATGGTCCATGGAATAGCTCCATAATTTTACCTTTTCCAGATTCCATATAGTTGAAATCATACAGTATGTAGTCTGAATTTTCAGACTTAGGTCCATTTTTTTAGTTGAATTGTTTGGTTTTTTTATTGTTGAGTCTTCAGAGTATATTTATACATTTTAGGTAACTGTCTTTTATGAGATAACGTCCTTTGCAAATATTTTCTCCCAGTCTGTGGCTTATCTTCTCATTCTCTTGACAGTGTCTTTTGTAGAGCAGAAGTTTTTAATTTTAATGAAACACAACTTATCAATTATTTCTTTCATGGTTTGTGCCTTTGGTGTTATATCTAAAGAGCCTTCGCCATACTCAAGGCCATCCAGGTTTTCTCTGTGATCTTTTAGGAGTTTTATAGTTTTGCATTTTACATTTCAGTCTCCGATCCATTCATCTTTCACTTTTTGACCCTTGTGCATTTTCCCATGATGATCTCTGGTGCTTAGGCTGAAGATGACTTTTTTGCAGTGTCCTTTTTTATATTTTCCAAATTTTCAACAGGGGATATATGTTATTTTCATACTCGGGGAGGGGGGGAAATGTATTCTTTTAAAAAGACATCCTGGCTGTAGGTCTTTCGACCCGATGTTCTCAGTGTTGACACCCTGCTTTCTTTCCTCTTTGTCAAAGGGCCACCTGAGTGAAGGGTATGGGCAGCTTTGCAGCATCTACCTCAAACTGCTGAGAACGAAGATGGAGTATCACACCAAAGTGAGTCTTTCCAACAATTCTGCTGGCCCTGTCAGCCACCCCTCACATACCACCCCACCTCCATCCCGCCCCGGGCTGTCCCGTCTCCTCAAACCTGGCTGGGCCTTTCTGGTTTGTGTTTTGGCAGTGCTGGGTCTTGGTTGCAGCACCAGCGTCTCTCTGTGAGGTGCACGGACTTCTCTTGTTGTGGAGCACAGGCTCCAGAGCATGTGGGCTTTGTTGCCACAAGACATTTGGGATATTAGTTCCCCAACCAGGGATCGAACCTGTGTCTTCTGCATTGGAAGGCAGATTCTCAACCAGTGGACCACCAGGACCGCCAGGGAAGTCCCCCCTGGCCACGCTTAATTGTCAGGTTTTCCAGGTAATAAGATGGCCTGGCTTCTCAGGGAATGCTCACACCATATCCCCGCTATGTGAGAGGAAACATTTTATAGAGTGACCACAGTCAGTGAGATGTGACTGGGATGTGGCCTGGGTCCTCTGCACATTTTGTTCCCTATTTTGCAAATAGAGAAACCTGATCCACCACATGTGTTCATTCATCACGTCGTATCCAACTCTTTGCGAACCCATGGATTGTAGCCAGCCAGGCTCCTCTGTCCATGGGATTCTCCAGGTGAGAACACTGGAGTGGGTTGTCATTTCCTCCTCCAGGGGATCTTCCCAACCCAGGGATCGAACCTGCGTCTCTTGTGTCTCCAGCACTGGCAGGTAAATTCTTTACCACTAGCGTGACCTCGGAAGCCTGGGCCACTAGGTGGCCTTCTGAAAATATTTCAGAGGCACTGACTTCACTGGTAATAGAAATAACTCCTTCCATTCATGTAATAAGCATCTGCACAGGACCTTCTGTTCAAGATATGACTTTAGTTAGTATTTCTTACACACCTAAGCATGTAAAACTATGTGCCAGGTGGCATATAATAATAAGGAGAAAGGGTCTGCCCTTTAGGAGTTCACAGATCCATTGGGGAGAGGAGGTTACACACTTGTAGTAGCCGTGTAATAGTGCCAGGTCTGTGCGCCTTTATAAAAGTGCCAGAGATGTTTTGAAAAGATGGAGGGGTGGGCCTTGAGGTGGTCCTTGAAGGGTGGGCATGGTGTCAATAGGAGGTAAGGAAGAACGCCCCGACAGGTGGGAGGGGAAACGGCCTGACTTAGGGAGCTGGCAGTGGAAATAGAGAAAGGAGGAACTCTAAGAAGAAATACCATAACTTGGTGTATTTTATCTCCATTATTTTTTGTATACTCACGGGGTATCTTTGATTCATGAAAACCATCCTAGTCGGTTCAACCTTTTTTGAATATCTTGTAATCCTCACGACAACCCTATAAACATGTACAATCATATCCTAGGAAAGTAAAACTCAGACGGTGGCTGGGTCCCTTGCCTGAGTCACAAAGCTCCTCGGTGGTGAGGTGAGATTTGAACCTCGGCCAGGTCGATGTAGAAGCTCATGCTGTTCTCAGTGACCACCTTTACTCCCCTCGTGTATCACTGAGGGTCTACCCTGGGCTAGGGCGAAGTGAGGTTCTAGAGAAAGAGGGATAGACTTTGCTGCTGTCTTTGGGAGTCGCCGTCTGGTTGGGAGAGAAGAAGGAAGACCCACAGAAGTGAGTTGTGGGGTGTCTTGCCCAGGTTTGGGCAACCAGGTGGGCTTCTAGGAGGTGGTGACACCTGAGCTCTGCCTTAGGGCATTACAATTATCTGTGCTGGATACAGTTTACCCCAGAGTTTAATGACTTAAAACAATAACAGTCTGTTATCTCTGACATTCTCTTGGTCTGGGGTTCCACAAGGGCTTGGCCAGCAGTTCTGGCTGGGGGCTTCCCATGCAGTTGCAGTCAGATGCCAGCTGGAGCTGAAACGGTGGGGGGCTGGTCTAGCATCTCTTCACAAAGTCTCAGCACTAGTCAGGGCTTCCTAGCAGCCGGGTGAGTTGGCCAAGAGAACAGGTAGAGTGTGTGGCATTTAGATGCCCCAGCCTCTGAAGTCAGAGAGTGTCCCTCCCACCATCCTGTGTTGGAAAAGGCCATCACAGAGGTTCCTAGAGTCACAGGGAGGGGACTGTCATCACTCCAGGTGGAATATTGGGGTCACATCATAAAGAGAGGGTGTTGAATGGGATATGTTGCAGCAGCCACAGTTCGCCCTCTGGTCCCCCCGTTCCCATCTCTCTCTGCCTGCTGTGGAGTACTTCCTCCCCATTCTCCAGACCACAGGCTGCCACTTAGCGGGTGGAGAGGAAGGGGCAATGAGGAAGGGCAGGGTGGGTGTTCCTGGCAGTGGATCAGCTGAAGACATAAGGGCGGGAGGCCCAGGACATTCTGGCGTCCACATGGCACCATCAGGAGACCCACGTTAGTGTGAGGAGCAGGCGGGGTGGAGAGTGGCAGGTGCCTGGGCTGGTGCGAGGTCATCCACTCGGTGTGGAGGGTGACTTGGGGAGAGCTGGGCTGTCGGTGTGAAAGATGGGGAGAGCCAGAATTAGACAGTTATCTCTGGGACAGACGAGGGTCAGGGACTTCCTGAAGACTGGCAGGAAAGGGAGGAGAGGCGGGGACAACAGCTAGAGGAAGATGTGAGGCCATGGGAAAGACCTGGACCACGGGATGCGGGCAGGAGCCTAAGGAGGCAGGTGGAGCCAGGGGTGCTCTGCACCGTGGGTTCCTGGAGCACTGAGCAGGTGTGCGTGTCTCCCTGTGTCCCGTGTGTGGCCCAACATCTAGCCCAGAACAGGGGCTCAAGTGGAATTTGTTGGATGAGCGAGAGAAGGAACCAGAAGCTAGATTGGCTCAAATAGCGCACAGGGAGGGGCTGATCCTGAGTCAGGAAGGAGGCGGCAACTTCTCTGAAGCTGGAGGAAGGGCAGGGCAGGCGGGTACCTTTGAAGCAGGGAAGGGAGTGGGAAGCAGGATGCTGAGTTTCGATGTAAGAATGCAAGAACATGACGTGATCAGGTGCTGAGAGGATGATGGCGTGGGAGCTGGGTACCAGGTGCAGAGTCGGGCAGTTGTTGATGGGAAGGGGAACCGGCGGGCCAGTGGCAAGGACTGTTGTTAGTTGCTCAGTCGTGTCTGAAGCTCAGTCGTGTCTGACTCTTTGCCACCCTATGGACTATAGCCTACCAGTCTCCTCTGTCCATGGAATTTTCCAGGCAAGAATACTGGAGCGGGTTGCCATTTCCTTCTCCAGGGGATCTTCCTGATGCAGGGATTGAACCCGGGTTTCCTGCACTGCAGGCAGATTCTTTACTGTCTGAGCCTCCACGGAAGCTCCAGCAAAGGCTGTGAAGGGGCAGTAGAGCTAGAGAGCGGGCTTCCCGGTGGCTCAGTGGTAAGGAATCCGCCTGCAGTGCAGGAGTCTCAGGAGACCTGGGTTCGATCCCTGGGTGGGGAAGATCTCCTGGAGGAGGGGCATGGCAGCCCACTCCAGTGTTCTTGCCTGGAGAATCCCGTGGACAGAGGAGCCTGGCGAGCTGCAGTCCGTAGGGTCTCCAAGAGTCAGACACGACTGAAGTGACTTAGCAGGCACGCATGCCGAGCTAGAGAGCGCAGTTTCATAGTGATCAGTTGTGAGTCATTCTCCAAGGAGATGGGCAGCTGGTCTGAGACACAGAGCATACGACAGCGATCCAGACTCACTGGGCTTAACGGCAGTGTGGTGTGAGGACAGGCAGGAGCAAAGATGAGGGCGAGGTGCCTGCCAGAGGTGCCATCCTGTCCAGACCCAGTGAGAAAGTAAGCACAGCCAGAAGGGGGCGATAAAGGAACCGGCTTGAGAACTTCCCTTTGGTGGTCCAGTGATTAAGACTCTGCGCTTCCAATGCAGGAGATGTGGGTTTGATCCCTGATCAGGGAACCACACGCTGCAGGGTGCAGCCAAAAAATAAAACCAATTAAAAAGAAAAGCAACCGGCCTGAGTCTCTGAGGCAGAGGAGCCGGGGTGGTGGGCCTCAAGGCAGGAGGGGGCTGCAAGGGTGTTACAGCCAGAGACGGAGGAGCCCAAGTGGAGGGTTTCTGACTTCAGAGCCTGAAGAACTCACCCTGGAGTTTAGAGCCCCCTTGGTGGACTGGTCACCCATCTCTCTGTGCTCCCCTCCACCTACCGGCTGCCCTGTGTTCCCTCCGCTCCCAACAGACCACACTGAGAAAGACAGGAAACTACAGATACTCAACAGCTGATAATCCCAGATAACCTCCCCTGACTGCGGGGGTGCTTCCTGTAATCTTCTCCAACCTTCAAGTTTCTTTTACTAATTCCGTTTTGCTAAACTTAATGTGAGAATCGGTTTGCCTGGCCCTGAACTCAAAATAGCGGCTTCCGGAAGTGGTCAGAGGCCAATGGGAAGCCTGGATAGGATTCGGAATGTACTGAGGATAAGCAGAGGCTACACTGCCTGCCTGGTGTGGGTGTCAGGTTGAGGAACGCCAGCAGTTGCGCGCTGGGTGTCCTTGCCCCACAGAGACGATGTCCGTGCTATAGGCTGTGGGGGTGGGACCCTCCCTGGGGCCCCAGGCATGGGATGGAAGCTTCCCTATGTTGACGAGTGGGGGGTGTTCTTTGCTGTGAGCCAGCCATTCACGGGACTTGTGCGCGCGCACATGTGTGTGTGTCTGTGTGTATGGTTGTGAGCGCTACCACATTCCCCGGGGAGCATGCAGGCACCCACACCAAGCAGAATCCAGCCTGTTGCTGCCGGAGCTCAATGGGGCTTGGTGTGTGTGATGTCAGCTATAGAGAGAGCTCTCGGGGTGCCCTGTTCTGACTTCCTCTGCCTCCCTCCCAGAACCCCAGGTTCCCAGGCAACCTTCACATGAGTGACCGGCAGCTAGAGGAGGCTGGAGAGAGTGACGTCAACAACTTGTAAGTGGGCGTCCTCACGCCCTGGACCGAGGGGGACGGGAGCTTGTGTAGGTTAGACCCTCAGTTCCGGTTAGGTCACAGAGGGCCTGAGGGAGGGCCGGTGGCTGAGCGGGGACAGAGCCGCTAAGTGACTTGACCTTGGGGCCGCTGACGGCTGGTGCCTCGTCCAGAACCCTTCCAGGATGTTCCCCACTCCAGGCCTCCCTTCTCTGGGCCCCTCTGCCCTTCCAACACGGCGTGGAACCTGCCCGCTTTCTCTACCGCTGTCACTGTTGAAGTCGCCCTGCTTGATCTTCCAATGTTTTTAATAGCCACCGAGGTGGGGGCTGAGACGCGGTATGTGTGTGTGTGCGTGCACATGTGTGCACGCATGCTGTGGCGGCAGCGCAGGGACACTGGCCTCGGGCCGTGGAATATAAGCTCTCTTTCCTCTTGGGTCCAGTTTCCAGCTGACAGTGGAGATGTTCGACTACCTGGAGTGTGAACTTAACCTCTTCCAAACTGGTGAGTCTCCCTCCTGTCTGGCTCAGGCTTTCCTAGCCATCACCTGACCCGCAGCCTGGTTCCTTCCTGGGAGCAGACAGGCCAGGAAGATGGAGCTGCCCCTCTGCATCTGTGCCCTCGGCCCTGGCACAGGGAGGGCTTGAAGCCCAGGGGCATGCTCAGAGTCACGTGCCCGAAGGACTTCAGTTCCCCACCGAGTTGGCCTCCCTTCTAAGCCCAGGCCTCCCAGAGTCCAAAAACCCTTCTGGCCTCTCTGACAGTCCCTGGACTGTGGCCCCAGCACTGGCTTGTCCTTTGGCCCAGACCTATCTGCCACTCAACTGGGATGGCCCTCAGGATGTGTTTCTGCTGAGGTGGTCTGCACAGTCACCCTTTCTGCCCCAGCATCCCATGGTACTTGGCTCTGTTTCCATATGCATTCATCCCTAGGGTTATTAGCAATATATGCTGAGCTCCTCCTCAAAAATCAGGAACTGGGCCCTGCTCACCTCTGTTCTAGCCCTGTGCCTGTCATTGCAAGTGCTCAACAACCAAGTTCAATAACACTTGCTTTCTAAGTGAATAGCAGTGAAGAAACACCAAGTGGACAGAGTTCATAAACTGATGTCAACATCCATCTGAATGCTCTGGAAGTATCTGGGGTGAATTAGCTAGAATTTTCTAGAGAGAGCTACCCGAGTCTGCACACACGCCTCCATTGTTGAATGCTGGTGGTTTTCTCATCCTGGAGAGAGTGCTGATTTGGAATCAAGAGCCTCGTCTACACATCTCCCCACCCCACTTCTGTCCTCATTCACCTCTTGGTGGTGATGGTTTAGTCACTAAATCATGTGACCCTATGGACTGTAGCCCACCAGGCTCTTCTGTCCATGGGGATTGTCCAGGCAAGAATACTGGAGTGGGTTGCAATTGCCTTCTTCAGGGGATCTTCCTGACTCAGAGCTCAAACCTGTATCTCCTGCATTGGTAGGCAGGTTCTTTACCAACTGAGCCACCAGGGAAAAGCCCAGAAACTGAGAGAAATGGTATCAGAAGTCTATCCAGCTTCTACGTCTTAGTCTGTGACCTTGTAAGGTTTGGATCAGAACCTTCAGAAGGGGTGCCCCAGGTTTTCAACTGCTGTGTAGTCCCTGGGCCAGCAGTATCTGCATCACTTGAGAACGTATTAGAAGCACACGTTCTTAAATCCCACCCCAGATCTTCTGAATGAGAATCTCTGGGGGGTGGGACCCAGTCCTCTATTTTAACGAACTCCTCAAGTCTGCACTGTCTAGTATGGTAGCCAATAGCCATCTGTGACTATTTAAATTAATTACGATTAAATAACATTTAAAGGTCAGGGCCTCCGTCTCACTCATCATAGTGCAGGCGCTCTGCAGACACACGTGGCTGGCAGTGTTGGACAGCGCCCTTCCATCACCGCAGAATTCTCCTGGAGTGATCCTTACTCCAGGGGATGCTGATACATGTTACAATTTGAGAAGCACCGAGTTAGAAAATACAGTTCCCACCCTGGCTGCTTATTAGAATCACCTGGGGGGTGCTTTTGAACCCCACTAATGCCCCAGCCTCGCGTGCGTGCATGTGTGCTCAATCCTCTCCGACTGTGTGTGACTCCATGGACTGTAGCCCGCCAGGCTCCTCTGTCCACGGGATTTCCCAGGCAAGGATACTAGAGCCGGTTGCCATTTCCTTCTCCAGAGGGATCTTCCCAACCCAGGAATCGAACCCTATCACCTGCATTGGCAGGCAGATTCTTTATGGCTGAGCCACCCAGGAAGCCTCGCTCCTGCCTTACCCTAGACCAATTAAAACAGAAGCAGGGATGAAGGAGCTGCAGGCAGACATGAGTCGTCTTTGCGTTTCCCTGGGTGATTCTAATCAGTCTCCAAGCCAACCCGAAGAACCACTGCAAGTTGCTATGCCAGTTATAGAATATTCTCATTTAATCCTTACAAGACCTCCTTATAAGACCCTTATGAGGGATGTGCTATTAGAACCATCTGCATCTCACGGAAGAGCGCCTGGAGGCACCGAGAGGTTGAGTAACTTTTCCCCCAGTCACACCACTCTAGATGTTACTAGATGCCAAGGGGCATTCCTGGAAAGCAGCAAACCGGCCGGGAGATGGAGTAGCCTGGGATTCCCTGCCAGAGTGGAGCCTAGGGAAGCCAGGAGACTTGGGGATAGCCGCCTCGCAGTGACAGCTGCTTCTAATTTGTGTCAAGAAGAAAAGCTGCCTTTTAATTAGAACTGTTTGGGATTTTTTTTTTTTCAGTTGCCAGACTTAAGCCCGTTAACGGGGATTAGTGTGGCCGGGGAAGGTCGAGCACAGTGGCTCTGGGCTTTCCTCCGGGGCCGTCCCATGCGCTGAGGGCCTGTGGGGGGAAGTCTCTCAGTGCTGGCCACGTGCAGAATCTCCGGAGGTGGAGGGCAGCCACTGCAGGGAGATCAGCCTGGCCAGTAGTGTGCGCTGAGGGTCCACGGCCAGGCATCTAGTTGCTTGGTTTAGGAGCAAGGGGCAGGGGGTGGGCATGGAGGGGTCCATGGGAGCGTCTTGCCCTCTGGAGCCCGAGAGAGTAGAGGTCGGTTCACCCACTCCCCCCAAGGACCTCCATCAGCCTTGATCCTGTTGGTTCACCCTCCTCCTGGCTCCTTGCCCAGTGTCCTCGAAGCCTCTCCGGTTGTCCACCCGAGGTTCCTGCACATCATCCTGTCTGGTGTTCCAAGAACACTGGGACAAACCACCAGGAACCCAGGCTGAATTATCTGCTCCTTCATGTTCTGGTCAACGTGTGATATTTTCCCCACATGCTTTCTGTTGTCACCCCCAGATTGGGTATTTCTTAGGGTCAAGGTCACCATGAGACCGAGCTCATGCCTGAGACGGAGGGCTGGGTGGAGCTATGTGAACAGCCCTTTCCGATCCTGAAATTCTGATTCCCCGTAAAACAGAGCTTCTCTTGAACAAGAATTCACCTCCCACATTAGACCAGAAACCTACCAGCTGACGTGTTCTTTCTGCCAATGGGAGGCCGAGAGTGTAAAACTCCTCAGACTGGAAGGAGGCATTTGGGGCACTTCCCCACAAATCCCTTCTTTCCTGGGCTCCCACTTTGCTGTACACGACATAGAACCAGTTTATTTCACTGGTTTGTGACACAGGGAGCCTGTTGACTGATGGGAGCACAGACTCCTAGTCTAGTCGCTGGCCCTGGGGGCTCTGGCTTTTAACTGAGCATCTCTCAAGCAAAACTACTTCTTGGCTTTGTGACCGCCTTCAAGTTGCTTACCTCTGATTTCCTCTCCTGTATAACGGGGATGCTTTTAGCTACCCCGTAGGAGTGTTGAATGGAGGAGGAAACCGCCCACTCCAGTATTCTTGCCTGGGAAATCCCATGGACCCAGGAGCCTGGTGGGCTACACTCCATGGGGTCATGAAGAGTTGGACATGCCTGAGCACAGCGCAGAGGAGTGCTGAAAGGGTTAAACACATTATAACGTGAGACCATGGTTGCACAAGACAGGTCCTCTGGTGCTGGATGCTTGTCCTCTGCCCTCTGAGAAGGTGGCCTCCCGTTCCCCAGCTCTGCTCACGTCTCCCCTTCCCGTCCCCTAGTGTTCAACTCTCTGGACATGTCCCGCTCCGTGTCGGTGACCACAGCCGGGCAGTGCCGCCTCGCCCCGCTCATCCAGGTCATCTTGGATTGCAGCCACCTCTATGATTACGCTGTCAAGCTTCTCTTCAAGCTCCACTCCTGTGAGTATTCTGGGCTTGATCACTGGAAGCTTCTGGCCGCAAGGCCGTCCCTGGAAAGAGGCAGCTCCCCGCCGGCGCCCTTAACTTTCTGCTCCTATTCCAAAAGGCCCTGGAGCTCCCAGCCATCTTGATAATAAAAGATCAGGGCCAGGCCTTGCTGTATGCAAGGACGCACCCAGCTGGCTCTAGCGGTGACCCAGGATGGCCCTGCCCGCCCCCTCCAGGCTGCCACGTTGTTCGTGAACCAATAGTGATCCGTTATTATTCACTGAAGTCCATGCTTTATGCACATTTCCACTTTATGCCTAATGACCTTTTCCTGTCCCAAGATCCCAAAGGGTCACGGTGTTACATTCAGTCATCAGGTATCCCTGGGCTCCTCTCGGCTCTGACAGTTTCCTTGGACTTGCCTTGTTTGTGATGGCTTTGACAGTTGTTGTTTTTTTGTTAATTTTTTTCTCCACTTTATTTTTGGGTGTGCTGGGTCTCCGTTGTTCCACAGGGGCTTTCTCTCGTTGCGGTGCCCGGGCTTCTCATTGGGGTGGCTTGTCTTGCTACAGAGCACAGGCTGTAGGTTCAAGGGCTCACTTGAGCCCTTGTAGTGAGTCATGGCTCACTACAGCAACTAAGTCCGAAATCGTCCCAGACCAGGGATCGAATCCGTGTCTGCCCCTTGCATTGGCATGTGCATTCTTCACCACTGGACCACCAGGGAAGTCTTCAAGGAGTCCTGGTCGGATACCTCAGAGGATGCTCCTTATTTTAGTTTGTCTCATGTTTTTGTCACCACTGGACTTCTTGGGTTCTTAGGAGGAAGATTGCTGAGGGAGAGTGCTATTGTCATCGCTGTAAACTTTTGCTCCTTTGAATTACTATACTTTATATGTGTACTCCCTGTGTATACCGAATGACAATATCACATTCAAAAATTACTAAAATTGAAATGTAAGACATCTATAGCTGAACTGCACAGAACTGTACAATCTGGGAGGTGAGCAGTCCCCACTCTGCCAGGGAGGAGGCTGGCCCTAAAAGGCTGCTGCTTATCCAGCATCGTAGAGTCAGCAGTGACCGAGCCAGTGCTAGACTGGATCCTGTGGGTTTCAGTCCTATGGTGTTTGGCACCCCCCGGCAGGCTCTCTGGGTCTCTCCCAGACTCACGTCTGCACAAGGCCTCACCCAGGGCATCCAGTGTACACGACCCCTGGGAGAGAGCCCCCCTCTAGGGCCTGCCCTGGTCCACCCTGCGGCTGCAGTCAGGGACACAACTTCCAGCCCTCTGTGCCCAGGGAGCTTGCACTCCAGGAGCTGACAGAAGGAGAGTTGGCTGATAAGCACCCCCAGAGTCCTTGCTGGCCCCAACTGGTCCCAAGAGGTTACTAGTTCCCAGGCAGCTCTAGGTCAAGAATGCCTTCCCCCGGGCTGACCACTGGCTCCTTCCCTCCCCAGAGGGAGGCCCCCTGCCCCCTGCCCCTTTTTTTCCCTCTTACTGTTTTCTAATTCCTTCCAGGTCTCCCAGCCGACACCCTGCAAGGCCACCGGGACCGCTTCCTGGAGCAGTTCACCAAGTAAGCGGCTTGAGTGACAGAAAAGAAGCGAATCTAAAAGTGCTGTAAACTCAACCCATCCTTGCAGGAGCACTTGATTTAATATTATTTTATATTTTATTTTTGGGCCGCACCATGCGGCAGGCATGTGGGATTTAGTTCCCCAACCAGGGATCAAACCCACACCCCCTGCCTTAGAAGCGTGGAATCTTAACCACTTAACCACCAGGGAAGTTCCAGGAGCACTTGCTTTTAAATCATCGAGGGATGAGGGTACCTGCTTTATTGCTTTAAAGGCTTATGAAAAGAAGGTGTGGGCAAAACTACCAATGACTGGGGAAGCAACCAGTTCTCTAATAAATCTCATAGAGGAAGGTGACTCCATTCATTCATTCATTGCCTCCCTTATGCCCAGGACTTCATCCTCTTCTCTTTTTCTTTCCCTAAGTTCTCTTGGTCTCATGCCATGTACATGCTGACAGCTCCAAGAGATGTACCTCCAGCCAGACCTCACCTCTGAATGCCAGTTGTCTGTCTAACATCTCTACACCAAATTTGGGCTTCCCTGAGAGCTCAGTTGGTTAAGAATCTGCCTGCAATGCAGGAGACCCCAGTTCTATTCCTAGGTTGGGAAGATCTGCTGGAGAAGGGATAGGCTACCCACTCCAGGATTCTTGGGCTTCCCTTGTGGCTGGCTCAGTTGGTAAAGAATTCGCCTGCAATGCGGGAGACCTGGGTTCGATCCCTGGGTTGGGAAGATCCCCTGGAGAAGGGAAAGGCTACCCACTCCAGTATTCTGGCCTGGAGAATTCCACGGACTATATTCATGGGGTCCCAAAGAGTTGGACACGACTGAGTGACTTTCACTTTTTATGCCAAATTTACATCTCAAGCTGAAGTCTAGGCTTTCTTCCAAAAATGTTTTCTTCCCAGTCTTTTTTTTCTTTCCAGTCTTTTTTATCTCAGTAAAGACTGCCCACCATCCGCTTAAGAGAGAGATCTGGAACTCACCATTCTCCTCATTCCCCACATTTAATCCATTAGCGAGTTCGGATGACACTTGGTTTATCTACAAACAGATCTTGGCTCTAGTTCTGCCTCCCACCTTGTCTGCATCTTTTGCTGTCTACCAGGACCCTCCAGTATGGACAGAGTGCTCTGCTCCTCTCCCCTGCAGTCCCATCCCCACCCAGCGGTAAAAACGTAAACCCCTTGCTCACAACCTTTCAGTGGCTTCTGATAACGATGAAAACCAAATCCAAGCTCCTCTCTGTGGTCTGCAAGGTCCTGGCATGATCTGGCCTCTGCCCGTGGTTTCTGATCTCTTCTCCAGTGCTCAACATGTTTCAGCCACACTTTGTGGGGCCCTGTTCCAGTTCCTGAAACATACCCAGAGCTCAGAGGCTTAGCCCTTGCTATTCCCCCTCCTCAAGATGCTCTTCTTCCAGCCTGGCCAGCTCCATCCAGGTCATCTTCAGTCACCTCCACACAAAGGAACTCTCTAGCCACCTTATTTAAGTGGAATCTTTCCCCCCATCTCCTGTTCCTCCAGCTCTACCCCACCTCCCCACCCACCCACCCTCATATTCTCCATCACAGCACCTTGTGTATTTCCTTTCTAGTTCTAAGAATGACCTTATTTTTGTTTGACTGTCTTGCCTGTAATTGTATCTCTAGCACCTGAATTTATAAGAATTCCTTAAGACTGTAGTGTTCAGGCAATGTTTGAATCAATTCAGGAATTAATCAGCCCGCTCTCTAGTCTAGAAGAGGAAGAGCTTGTCTGACAGAGGGGCAAATTATTCTGGCGCATTTGGGGAAGAAAACTGGTGATGAGATGAAAAGTCCGGTTCATCTTTCAATTAAGCTTGCCCAAGAAGAGGGGCTGGAATGGAAGAGAGAGAGGAGGATGAAGGAGCCAGGAAGGACATTCGTGTGATTGTTTTCCTTGTTAATTTCTTCATTCTTGACTGCAGGAAAAGCATCACCCCCAGAACCCAAGCCCAGGCTTCTCTTGCTGGTTGCTGAGTAGCAATCAGAGGGCAAGTTCAGAGTTGTGCTAACCACCTGGTTCCTTATTCTGTTTGAAAAGCCTTGTATGTTTATGCTATAAAAAATGACTTATTAAATCCCAGGAGACAGGCCCTGGGGCCGATTTCCTGGAATGTTAAATTCCAGTAGCTTAGGAAAGCAGGAGCCTATTACTGTTGGCTCCAGCCCAGAAAGCGGGGGATGTGTGGTCAGGTGATTCAATTTCCCTTCATTCTTCGAGCTAATGAAAGCATCACCTTCTCTTTCTCGGACACAGCAGCTGAGACCTCAGTGTCCCCAAGTTCGGGGAAAGCAACAGTGAGGTCACAGGGACAGTCCTAACCTTGGGGTCTGATGCGCTGTCCTGAGACCCCAGGGGTTTCGTTTATTGGGCTGAGCAGGAGGAAATTCGGTGCTGCAGAGCAAGGGCTGATATCAGTAACCCCCTTTCATCTCAGAAAGTATGTCTGGTGCTCTTGGCCTTCGATGCTTAGATTCAAAATAGAGACTTGAGGATGAGAAAAAATTGGAGTTTCTTCATTCCCATATCCATCCAAGATGATTGTTGTTGTTTTAGTCACTTAAGTTGTGTCCGACTCTTTTGCAACCCCATGGACTGTAGCCCGCCAGTCTCTGTCCGTGGGATTCTTCCAGGAAAGAATACTGGAGTGGGTTGTATCTCCGGGGGATCTTCCCGATCCAGGGATTAAACCTGCATCTCGTACACTGCCAGGTAGATTCTTTACCTCTGAGCCACCTGGGAAGTCTGTAGTCCATGGAGTCGCAAAAAGTCGGCCACGACTTAGCAACTAAACACCACCAACATTGCTCACCCCCAGATCAGTGAGGGCTGGCAATACATAATGTCTCCTGGCAGCGTCATAATCGCACCATGGAGGCCATCTCCTTGGCAGCCTGTGCCCTGGGGCTGGGCGGGCAGTAGGAAAGCAGGGTGTCCCCTCCCCGGGGCTACTGAAAGCCCCCAGCAGCCCTCTGACCTCTCTCCACCCCTAGGTTGAAAGATTTCTTCTACCGCTCCAGCAACCTGCAGTACTTCAAGCGGCTCATTCAGATCCCTCAACTGCCAGAGGTAAGCCTGCCAGGGAACTGCGGAGCCCAGGGGGGCCTGTCCTCGAGGCTAGCAGGCGGGCAGGGTGCGAGAAGTGCGTCTTCCCTCTTCAGAACCCACCCAATTTCCTACGAGCCTCCGCCCTGTCAGAACACGTCAGCCCCGTGGTGGTGATCCCAGCCGAGGCGTCGTCCCCCGACAGCGAGCCCGTCTTAGAGAAGGATGACGTGGGCATGGACGCCTCCCAGCAGGTGAGGACCTCATAGGAGGAAGCTCAGTCAGCCCTTCCCAGTGCCCCCGGGTGCAGGAGGGCAGGCGGGAGGACCATGGCCAGGCGCGGCCACCTTCTTATTTGTTCATTTATTTGACTGCACTGGGTCTTTTTTTTTTTACGTTTATTTATGGCTGTGCTGCGTCTTCACTGCTGTGTAGGCTGTCACTTAGAAGAGTGGGGGCTACTTACTCTTCGTTGCGGTGCAGGAGCTTGTCTTGTTGCAGAGCGCCAGCTCTAGGGCACGTGGGCCCAGTAATTGCCATTCTTGAGCCCTGGAGCCCTTGCTCAGTAGTTTTAGCACACAGGCTTCATTGCTCCGAGGCATGTGGTCTCCTTCCGGAACCTGGCATCGAACCTGTGTCTCCTGTGTTGGCAAGTGGATTCTTTACCACCGGGCCCCCAGGGAAGCCCCCGCACCTGGTCTTCACTGTGTCACACGAGATCTTTTTAGTTTGGCATTGGGGATCTTTGGTTGAGGCATGTGGGATCTGGTTCCCTGACCAGGGATCAAACCTGGGCCCCCCCTTGCACTGGGAGCAGAGTCTTAGCTCCTGGGCCACCAGAGACGGTCTGCAGCCACATTCTAACCCAAGCACTGACCGAGAGAGATCATGCTGCCCTGCGGTCCCTAGGAGGCGCTGTAATTGGATTTGAACCAGATTAAGAAAGCATCTGTCCCCGGGTGGCTGTTGAGACCCACACAGACCCCTCTGGGTCTCTGACCTTCTCCTCGCTCCTCTCTGGTCGCAGCAGAATTCATTTGACAGCAAGTTCGATGACATCTTCGGCAGCTCCTCCGGCAGCGATCCCTTCAATTTCAACAGTCAGAATGGCGTGAACAAGGACGAGAAGTGAGTCCAGGCTGCGGGGTTAAAGCAGATGATGTGGGCGCTACGTTAAGCCAAGAGCTCACTCACCACACCCAACCAAAGAGGAATTCTTGGGCTTCCTAGATAAATGTCTTGACCTTCGAGTTGTTTAGTCACTAAGTCGTGTCCGACTCTTTTGAGACCCCCTGAACTGGGGCCTGCCAGACTCCTCTGTCCATGGGATTCTTCAGATGAGAGTACTGGAGTGGGTAGCCATTCCTTTCTCCAGGGAATCTTCCCAGCCCAGGGATTGAACCCATTGGTAGGTGGATTCCTTACTGCTGAAGCACCTGGGAAGTCCTAACCTTTGAATACTGCTGCTGCTGCTAAGTCGCTTCAGTCGTGTCCGACTCTGTGTGACCCCATAGATGGCAGCCCACCAGGCTCCCCCGTCCTTGGGATTCTCCAGGCAAGAACACTGGAGTGGGTTGCCATTTCCTTCTCCAGTGCAGAAAAGTGAAAGGGAAGTCACTCAGTCGTGTCCTACTCTTAGCGACCCCATGGACTGCAGCCCACCAGGCTCCTCCATCCATGGGGTTTTCCAGGCAAGAGTACTGGAGTGGAGTGCCATTGCTTTCTCCAAACCTTTGAATACTGACCCCTTTCAAGTCCTAGAGGAGTAGCCAATGAGACTGAGATTGCTGTGGGCCTGTGGGTGGTAGATTAGTATCTGGAGACACTGCAGGTCTTAGAGGTTAACTTATAGGATTTCAAAGAATTGTTCCCAAATGAACATCGGCTTTTAACCTCCTCCCTGGGTCTCCCAGCTCGCATTTCAAAGGAGAGAGAAGCACAGTGGAAGCAAACTTGCTCTTCTTCTCTTCCTAGGGATCAGTTAATTGATCAGCTGTTCGGAGAGACCAGAGAACTGAAAGCTCAGCTGGAAAACATGAAGACTGAGGTATGAGTTGGGCTCTGATCCACCTCTGGGCTTCACCAGAACATGACAGCTTTTAATATTAAATTCTCTTCACATCCATCCTTGTTGAGCCACATCTTAATGGAAGGTCAATTAGTAGAAATGCCAAAGCCAGAGGACCAGGTTATCGTGTATTTCCAGTGCACTTACCCTTGCAAGCAGCATTTAAGTCACACTCCGGGGGCCCTGTGATACTTGGAGAGAATCATGACCACCAGCTGGCTATGAAGCTGTGCAGTGAGATACCTATTCTTGTCACTTGGTGTTGAGAAGGTTTGGTTGTAGCTTTGCCGGCTGTTTGCAGTATCTGCTGCTGACTCATAGCTGGTCAGATCCTTTACCTGGGACCAGCAAGCATTCTCCCCTGCCTCATCCTGGGCCCATCATTGCCCCCAGGTCCCTCTAACAGGACCAGAACTCCCCTGCCCTCACCCCCTGTTGGTGGGTAGCTGGCTTGTAGTGACCTCCACTCTTTGCGAGGCCTTGGGAGTGAGCTCGTTGGGAAACCCCAGGTGTTTATTCAGTTGGACTGGAGACGTGATAGGTGGGACCCCCCCCTTGTCCCACCCAGCGCTCTCACTCATCCCCGGGCCCCCCCAACAGAGCCAGCGGGCCGTGCTGCAGCTCAAGGGCCGCACCAGCGAGCTGGAGGCCGAGCTGGCTGAGCAGCAGCACCTGCGGCAGCAGGCGGCCGACGAGAGCGAGTTCCTCCGGGCCGAGCTGGACGAGCTCAAGAAGAAACGCGAGGACACGGAGAAGGCTCAGCGGAGCCTGACGGAGATCGAGAGTGAGGAGCTGTCACTGGGGCGGGCGTGCGGGTGGGGCCGGGGAGGGCGGCGCCCCGCCAGCCCTGGAATGCAGGCTGAGGCTGGGCACCAGCGTCCCTGTCTGTCCAGAGGGGCTGTCGTGAACGTTGGCATCAGCGGTTAGGAGGGTGGGTTGGAGTTCCCCATGAGGCCCTGCTGGGAACACAGAGATGGGGAGACAGAGGGTGACAAAAGAGAAAGAGCTTATGAAAAATCATGGTGTAGAAGCCAGTAACACTGATTTAAACATGCCAAGTTTGGAATGCTCAAGAGGCATGAATCAATGGAGGGATTTGAATCAGGTGATTCTTCATTAAAGCAGACTTGCCAGAGGACTTTAAGTAAGACTTTTCTGAAAGAAGGAGGTGTAGATGCTTGTGGAAAGGCAAGATGGTCTTCTAGGGGCTCGGGCTTATCAGAAGAAGAGCAGAGGGTGCCCTGCCAGTGCAGACCCCTCACCTTGGTCCTCGACAATTCAGGGAAAGCCCAAGCCAATGAGCAGCGCTACAGCAAGCTGAAGGAGAAGTACAATGAGCTGGTGCAGAACCACGCCGATCTGCTGCGGAAGGTAGGACCCTCGCCGCCGCCAGCAGCCTGTCCCACGTGCACAGGGCCCCCTGCCCAGGGGAGATGCCGACCCAGGCTGTGTGGCTTCTCCAGGGCCAGTGTCCCCACCATTTCTTGGAAACTAGAGCTCCCTGGCTGTCATATTCTCAAGCTCCACCTTAGGTACCTGCCCTACTCGTGATAGCCTCCATCTTTATCATCTTTGGAAGACTTGAGAGTCGAGCATCTGAAGGCAACAGCTTCCTCTGGGTGGAAGCGATGTCTGTGTCCATCTTTAGGGCACTCTCAGTCTGAATGCCATCCTTTGTTCTACAAGGAAGGTGGCCTTTCAGCCGGAGATAAGTTAGTTTGAGACACTGTTCTTCTCTTGCAGAATGCGGAGGTGACCAAACAGGTGTCAGTGGCCAGACAAGCCCAGGTGGATTTGGAACGGGAGAAAAAAGAGCTGGAGGATTCTTTTCAGCGCATCAGTGACCAGGCCCAGCGAAAGGTGAGTGGAAGGAGAAGTGGGTGGGAATCGAAGGGAGCTGTCCATCTGAGATGGAGGGGGCTTTGAGTGCTGCACCGAATAGAGTGCCTTGTCTTCATGGGCGGGTCTGCAGGGTGAGTGGCAAGGGGCCCTAGGGGGCAGGACATGATTACTCATGTGAAAGCTGTTAAGGGCATGATGTGATGAAAGGTCTGAAGTTGAGTAGGGCTCATCAGCTAAGATGAATCTCGAGGAGGTTTTGAAGTGGAAGCAGGTGGATGTCAGAGAGAGAGGATCGGCATTTACAAAGACCCACAGCCAGGAGTTGTCTGCAGCCATGCCTTGAGGTGGAGTTGGCATTAGGCGGCAGGTCCCGTTGGCATAAGAGATGGTGGGTGGATAAAACAGAGTGCCTTCCGCTTAGGAGCAGGGGCTTTCACACTTTTCTGTGTCCCAAAGTAAAAACAGCATCTAATGGAGGACTTTCCTGGCAGTCCAGTGGTTAACTCTGTGCTTCCCGTTCAGGGGGCACACATTCCATCCCTGGTTGGGGTGCTACGATCCCACATGCTGCATGGTGAAAAAGTTAAAAAAAAAAAAAACTAATGAAAATCAAAGTTTCACAGAGCAATACTTTACCTTATGTGGATGCATGTGGGTTATTTTTTGGCTGTGTTTACTGCATTTTAAAAAAGATGTTTGCTATGAATTCTTACTCATGGGTCACAACCTGCTCTTTGAAAAAAACACCACTTAGAAATCAAAGAATGGGGATTGCTTCAAGATGGTGAGATAGAGTGAGTCAGCAGAATACCTACCAGGTGTTGGGATGCCTGAATTAAAAATCTGGTTCTGCTTTAATTAGTGTTATTTATGGGCTCAAGCTTGACATTCCAGTGTGGTGCTCAGTTGCTCAAGTATGTCTTGATTCTTTGGGACCCCATGCTTGAAGCTCCCCCTTGACATTTCCTGTAGCTGAAAGAAAAATTATTGGTTCATTCTGACCTCTCTTGCTTCTGTATAAAAATTATACAGAGATTTCCCTGGCAGTCCAGTGGTTAAGACTCCACACTTCTGCAGGGGGCATGGGTTCAATCCCTGGTCAGGGAACTAAGATCCTGCATACCATGTGGCATGGCCAAAATACAAAAAATAGTTTTTTTAAAAAAAACGGAGATTAAACAAATCTACATTTATAGCTTGGGAATTTTTTTACATGTGTTTATCCCTTGAAGGCACCACCTAGATCACAGTACTCCTGTTTTTCTTCTCTTTCAGACTCAAGAACAGACAGAAGTACTAGAGAATTTGAAGCAAGAACTTGCCACCAGCAAACAGGAACTCCAGATTGTCCAAGGCAGCCTAGAAAATTCTGCCCAGGTGAGTGTCACCTGTCTTTCCCTTCCTCTTTCTCTTCCCCTTGGGCTTTGGTGTTGCTGTCAGCTAGGGCTTCCCAGGTGGTGCTAGAGGAAAAGATGACACAAGAAAGGCAGGTTTGATCCCTGGGTGGGAAGATCCCCTGGAAAGAGGGCATGACGACCCAGTATTCTTGCCTGGAAAATCCCGTGGACAGAGGAGCCTGGTGGGCTACAGTCCGTGGGGTCACAGAGAGTCGGACACGACTGAAGCCGACTTAGCACAGCATCCATCCCCACCAGCACGTGGCCCACCTGGTCCCATCCAGGATCAGTCTGCACTCGGGGATGCAAGTGGCAGATTCCTCGTGGCCCGGGGGTGGGTTTGGATCTCTGGGAAGGGGACAGTTTCATTCTCCCAGTAACTCCCTCCGGGCCACTCCATCCCCATCACAGTCGGAGGCAAAATGGACCGCCCAGATCACAGACCTGGAGAAGGACCGGGACAGCCTGATGAACGCCATGGCTTGTCGAGAGGAGGAGCTGTGCGCTCTTCGGAAGCAGCTGGAGTACACACAGCTCAAACTGTCTAGTGCACAGGCAAGTAGCGGGTGCTCCAGGGGCAGATCAAGTCCAGTCTCACACCCATGGGCACTGGGTTGTGGGTATTGGTGGAGGCAGGGGGGCTGTGAAAGGGAGTTTAGGGCCTTTGGCCAGATTGTGAAGGTGAATACTCGGCTAGCATAACTTCTGATGCCTCACACGCAGCAGATGAGAAGGAACCTGGCCCTCTCTCCCCAAGGGTGGAGGCTGGGCGGCCATGGTCCAGCGCCATAGCCTCCTGTGCTTGGCCGCACACGCCCGCGGACAAGGTTAAAGGCTTTTTCTCTGTCAAGTCGCGTGGCTTGGGCCTCATGAGCCGCAGCTTGAGCTAAGGTGCCGGGAATCCCAGCTGTGTCACCGGCGGATACTGGGTGGAGGCTCATTAGGGAGGTCTGTGGCCCACCCTCACCTCCCGGAACCATCATCTCTAGGAATCTATATGCCAGCTCGAGAAGGACCAACACAGGATGCTCCTGGCTGAGTCGAGGAGGGCTGCAGGGCAGGTGGTGCAGGAGGCCCTGAGGCTGTTGGAGGAGCCCACTCTCTCGAGCTGCGCTGGATCTGCAGGTGCCCCTCCCCTCGCCCAGCTCCTGGGCGTCAGCCCCGCCCCACCCCTATCCTCGTGTGACCCTGACTCAGGTTCCCAGCACAGCTGTGTGTTAAGATCGCCAGGGGACGCCTAGGCCCCACCCCCTAGGATCTGTAAAATGGGCAGCGTAGCAGCCTGCGGCCTGGCAATAAGACTTCCCACACCCCCAGCCACCTCCCCCAAGGTGGGACACCTACGGCCTTAGTCATGGATCACACCTGTGAAATGTGGGCGCTGTGGCCTGCAAGCCCTTATAAATGCCAGGAGGAGGAGGAGGAGGGACAGACAGCCCTGTGTGCCTCTGCGGAGAACAGTGTGGTCTCAGTCCAGTCATGACTGCCATGAGCTTAGACAGGGAGGCATCTTCCTTAAGCACAGAGGGGCAGAAGCGATACCCTTCCCCCGCGCACCCCCAAGAGTCACAGGCGTGAGCAAGGGCCCACTCCACCAGCCCCCAGAGTCCTCAGGGCATGCACTGGAGTCAGAGGGGGCCCCATCACGAGAGGATGGGGTGCACATTAGACGGAAGAGCATCCAGGCCCTGGGGGTTCTGGGAAGGCGTGGATAGCCATGAATAGATTCCAGCTTGTTTTGAAGCAGGGGGAACTTGTTGACAAGGTCCTGTGAGGTCCCGTTGAGGACAAGGCAGAAGGGAGGGAGCAAATGATTTTTAGTATCAACTAGAAAGGTCTCAATTCAGTGAAATATTTCAGGAAAGACTAGGATATCTTGTTCAGCAGGGGACCCACCTGTAAGGAAACCCCACGGTTACAAAGGAAGGAACACGTGGGTACCTTGTTGACTGCAGAACTGCTAGGAGAGCAGGCAGCTGCGGGGGGTTCCGCAGGAGATGGTGTGAGCTGGGTTTTGAAAGAAGAGGAGAAACATGAAGCCATGGAGAGGAAGAAAAGTGGGGAGTAATAACCCGTAAGAACAGCCGACGTTGCGGCATGCGGGATCTTTAGTTGTGGCGTGTGAATTATTAGTTGCAGCAACTAAAGATCCCTCAGGCTGCAGTGAAGATCAGAGATCCCGCGCGGCGCAACCAAATCAAAAACAAAAAGCAGGAACAGCTGCTTGCTCGCTATTGCGATGTGAAGGCACCATCCTCAGTGCTTTACATGCCTTGGCCCAGCGACCCTCACCGCGATGCCAGGGGATGTACTTTTATCCCTCCTTTGTCGGGTAATGAAGCAGGTGCACGTGAGCTGAGAACACAGCCAGTAGTGCTAGAACCGGGGGCTGCAACACCTGTGCAGGGAGACGGGCAAGCCTGCACTTAACCTCTTACGCGATGCAGCCTCTGTGGTTCAGAGCACAAAGGCGCAGCATTGGGAATGACTGTGTTGTGGGCAGAGCATGAGTGTAGATTAGACCCACAGAACCAGGGCTCTGAACTCAAGAGGAATGAGAATCCAAGAGCCTTTTTTGGTTGTTTAATTGAAGTATAGTTGATTAACAATGTTGAGTGTGGGCTTCCCAGGTGGCGCTAGTGGTAAGGAACCCATCTGCCACTGCAGGGACCGTTAAGAAACATGGGTTTGATCTGTGGGTCGGGAAGATACCCTGGAGGAGGAAATGGTAATCCACTCCAGTATTCTTGCCTGGAAAATCCTATGGACAGAGGAGCTTGGCAGGCTGCAGACCCTGGGGTTGCAGAGTTGGACACGACTTAGTGACCGAACACGAAGTTTCAGATGGACAGCAGAGTGAATCAGTTACACATACACCCTTTAAATTTTTTTTTTAAGATTCTTTTCCTATATAGGCCAATGCTTAGGGTCTTGAAAGACTTAACAGGAAGGCCTGGGTTAGATTCAGTTGGCAGTGATGGGAAATGAGGGGCGGAAATGAGGCCCCGTGGTTCTTGGCTAAAGGACCAGATAACTCCAAAGCAGAGCCTTTGAAGCTACAATGAGAGAATCACGTATCAGCATAGCCAACGACCTCTCCTCCCTCCCCACTCTCAGGGCAGCTCCTGCCTCCCACCCCCCCGCCCGCCCCAAGGTCATCCATGAGGCAGACTAACTAATGGGGATGCAGCGAGCTGTGACTATGGCTCTGACTTCACCCTCTCTTCCCTCTCACAGATCACCTGCTGTCCAAGGTCAACTCCACTTCCAGCTGCATTGAGCAGCTGGAAAAATGCTGGAGCCAGTATCTGGAGTGCCCGGAAGGTAAGAGCTGGAGGATAAGGAGGGTATATTGCTAGCAGCAGCCAGGTGACGTTCAGAAATGTTGGAACATAGCAATGACGATCAGTTCCTTCGCCCCCAGAAAAGGAGTGTGTGTCCATCTTGCAAAGTGGGGAGGAAGGAGGGACAGAAGTGATACCCTCCAGCAGGACTGAAAAAGTTCCCTTTCAACTCCTGCAGATATCAGTGGGCTCCTTCACTCGGTAACACTCCTGGCCCACCTGACCAGTGACACCATCGTTCACGGCAGCGCCACCTGCCTTAGAGCCCCGCCGGAGTCGGCCGACTGTGAGTACCGGAGGGAGGGGCCGCCCCAAACGCACAGGGAGCCAGGGGGACCTTTGAAAGTCGCCTTGCCTCTGCAGCTCTGATCGAGGCCTGTAAGCAGTATGGCAAGGAGACCCTCACCTATCTGTCTTTCCTGGAGGAAGAAAGAATCTTTGAGAATGCCGACAGCACAGCCATGAGGAGCTGCCTCACCAGGATCACGGCCATTAGTGAAGTATGATCAGTATTATTTATTCCTGCAGAAGGTAGTTCTTGGAGTGAGGGCTGGGGGCTTCCTTGGGAATCAGTGATGTTCTAAGCCAGTTCTTTCTGCACTTGAAACTTGATTTAAAGTAAGAGGACTGTAAAACCCGACCGCCTGATTGACTTTGCAGTTCTGCCTAAGTCACTGACTATTAATGGAGGGTCTGCTGCGTGATCGTCACTGTGCACAGCAGTGTCAAAGACGAATGAGCACGGCTTTCCTGTTTTTAAGAGTTTTTATCTGATTGGGCAGGTAACACCTGAAATGAAAACAATATATTCACTCACTGAGTGGTTAACAACAAATGTTGAATTTATTGAATATGCATACGAGAGAGAGCAAAACAGCTAAAAAGAGAGCGATCAATTGGGGAAGGCAGGTTCCCATGGGGGAGAAGTGGGCAGTGAGATGGAGAACCTGAAATCTGTGGATGAAGGATGACCATGGTGAATGAGAAGCTGCTAACCTTTCCTTCTAGAGAGTGACATAGTCATAGGATTTTTTTTAATTTTTAAAAAATTTATTATTTATTTGTGACCGCACTGGGTTTGTTGGCGAGCAGGGGCTACTCTCTAGTTGCAGTACATGAGCTTCTCATTGTAGTGGCATCTCGTGTTTTGGAACACGGGGTCTAGGGCACGTGGGCTTCAGTAGTTGGAGCTCATGGGCTCAATAGTTGTGGTACACAGGCTTCGTTGCCCCATAGCATGTGGGATCTTCCCAGACTAGGAATCAAGCCGGCATCTCCTGCCTTGGCGGGCGGATTCTGAACCACTGGCCCACCAGAGATGTCCCACACTATGATCATTCTTGTATATATCTCCTCATGCACACACGTAAGAGTTTCTGTATAAACCCAGGAGTAGAATGACTAGGTCATAGAATGAATCTCCCACACAGAATGCCAAGTGAAAAAGTAAATCATAGAAAAATGCTTGCAGTATCAGTTCAGTCACTCAGTCATGTCCGACTCTTTGTGACCCCATGAACCACAGCACGCCAGGCCTCCCTGTCCATCACCAACTCCCAGAATCCACCCAAATCCATGTCCATTGAGTCAGTGATGCCATCCAACCATCTCATCCTCTGTCGTCCCCTCTCCTCCTGCCCTTTCCCAGCATCAGGGTGTTTTCAAATGAGTCAGCTCTTTGCATCAGGTGGCCAAAATATTGGAGTTTCAGCTTCAACATCAGTCCCTCCAGTGAACACCCAGGACTCATCTCCTTTAGGATGGACTGGTTGGATCTCCTTGCAGTCCAAGGGACTCTCAAGAGTCTTCTCTAACACCACAGTTCAAAAGCATTAGTTCTTTAAAATCTTTATCAAATCTTTAAGGAAGCACTCAGCTTTCTTTATAGTCCAACTCTCACGTTCATACATGATTACTGGAAAAACCATAGCCTTGACTAGATGGATCTTTGTGGACAAAGTAATGTCTCTGCTTTTTAATATGCTATCTAGGTTGGTCATAACTTTCCTTCCAAGGAGTAAGCGTCTTTTAATTTCATGGCTGTAATCACCATCTGCAGTGATTTTGGAGCCCAAAAAAATAAAGTCAACCACTGTTTCCCCATCTATTTCCCATGAAGTGATGGACCGGATGCCATGATCTTAGATTTCTGAATGTTGAGCTTTAAGCCAACTTTTCACTCTTCTCTTTCACTTGCAGTATGGTTCCTTTTAAATAAAGACCAAAACATGCAGTCTTTAGTTTTGCAGCCATATCCGACTCTTTGCAACCTCATGGACTACAGCCCATCAGGCTATTCTGTCCATGGGATTCTCCAGGCAGGAATATAGAGTGGATTGCCATTTCCTTCTCCAAAACATGCAGACTCAATATTATATTGTTTAAAGATACAGTCATAGGGATTTTAAAAACAAACCAAAAAAGGACATGGTACGTATTTTTCTGAATTGTTTGTCTTTACATGGAAAGTAGAAAGGAAGGCAGATTGAATCAGGGCAGGCTATACAGGAGATTTCAAAGTATTGAGGATGTTTCTTAAGCTCTTCCTTAAGTTTGGGTGGTGGATAATATGAGTCATCATATTCTTGACCCAGTCATATCTATTTTATACTCTTGTGTGTTTAACACTTACTGTTTCTAAAGATCATAGGCTTTACCATCAGACCAGAGTTTAGATCCCTGCTTCTCCATCTGTTAGCAGTTACTGTGGTCAAGACATTTGACCTTTCTGAGCCATGGCTTCCCATCTGTAGGACAGTAGTAATAACTGCCTCATATGATTGCCCTGGAAGCAAAGTTAAATAAGGGACAGATTGTCTGGTTGGAAGACATCATCCCCATTTGAAGATGTTTTTGAAGTGCCTCCCAAGCAGCAAATTCAATCAATGCTACTTTGGGTGGGGTCAGGGTCTGAGCAGCTACAACTGAGTGGCCTTGTGGGGGTCAGTGGAGATGACCTTTTGGAAGGAGGTAGGCTCTGAGTGAGCATAGAGGTGGGAGGAGTGTGGGGTTGCAGAGCTCACGCGGTAGAGAGAATTCCAGACAAGCCCCCACCCTGGCTTGCAGAAGTGTTACGTGGTGGGGCCCTCGTACCTTCTGTCATGTGAGGTTTACCGGTCTGCCACGGGAGGATAGAGAGGAAGTTTGAGGGTGGTCTCAGCATTCGTGATGCTATTCACAGGATCTCCTGCCCAGAGGCCTGGACATCAAACAGGAGGAACTGGGGGACCTGGTGGACAAGGAGATGGCTGCCACTTCCGCTGCCATTGAAGCCGCCACGGCCAGAATAGAGGTACAGGAGTGTCTGTGAGGTCACCTGAAGTGATGCTTTGCAACTGTTACCCGTCTGCAGCACTGCCTGTTGGGTGTGTCCCAGACATTCTCTGCAGAGCCCCCATGTACATGCGTGCATGCTAAGTCACCTCTGTCCTGTCTCTTTATGACCCCATGGACTGTAGCCCACCAGGATCCTCTGTCCATGGGGTTCTCCAGGCAAGAATACTGGAGTGGATAGCCATTCCCTTCTCCAGGGGATTTTCCTGACCTAGGGATCAAACCCAGGTCTCCTGCATTGCAGGCAGATTCTTTACCGTCTGAGCCACCAGGAAAGCCCCCTTCTTTACAAAGTCCCCTACAGAACAAACCAAAACCCAAACCCCCTAGGGTCTCTGAGAAACAGAAAATAGAAAGTTCTAGCCAAGGGAAGATGAGCAGTTTATGTAAGGATCACATACTTTGGTGTCAGGCCATCAAGTTCCAGACTGATCACTTGCTAGTTGTATGATTTCCAGTAAGTTACGTTAACCTTGCTGAGATTCAGATTCCATCTCTGTATGATGGTGATGACACTAGTTCCTCCCTCAGAGGGAGGAAGCAGGGGTCCCCAACCTCCGGACCACAGTCAGGTACCTCCTATCAGATCAGCAGCAGCATTAGATTAGAAATAAAGTGCACAGTAAATGTAATGCCCTTGAATCATCCTGAAACCACCACCACCACCAACCCCTCCCCACGGCTAGTCCATGGAAAAATTACCTTCCACGAAATCGGTCCCTGGTGCCCAAAAGGTTGGAGACTGCTATTGTAAACAGTTCACTGTGATAATGCACAGGTGTCTCAGTGGCAGGTGCTCAATAGATCAGAAGTAGCTGTTGTCTCCAGGAAAAGCTGAGCAGGCACCTTGGACAGGTCCTCTGGTGGAAGACTCAGGCCGTCAGCCTTGGTAGGAGGACCTGCCTCAAGGACTCGATGCAGCTGCCCCTGTTGGCATGGTGCCACACTTCTCAGAATTCTGTGCCCATCAGCCCAGTCCCAGGCTGTTAAGACACTCACATGCCGTAGGTCGCGCCAGCTGCCTCCCACTGAGTAGTTTGGAGCTCTGAGTTGTTTTCCTGACCCTCACGAGGACATGGGTGGGCACTGCTGGGTTTCTCGGCATCTGCGGGATGTTGGACCCAAGATGTAACAGGACACCAGTGGGTACTCATTCTCTGTGATGTATTCGGAAACCCTGCTTCTTTTTGAATAGGAGATGCTCAGCAAATCCCGAGCTGGAGACACAGGAGTCAAATTGGAGGTGAACGAAAGGTCAGTTTGAGCGGCATGGTTGCACCTGGGTGATGAGGATCCATCTTGTTCTGCCTTGGCTCATGCCTATTAGAATAGAACATTAAAGCTGCCACGGGGAATGGCCGAGTCTATGGAGTTGTCCGTATCGGTATGATTATTTTTTGGCTGTACCACACCCCTTGGCATGTGGGATCCTAGTTCCTGGACCAGGGATCAAACCTGCGTCCCCAGCACTGAAAGTGCGGAGTCTCAACCACTGGACCACGAGGGAAGCCCCAGTATCAGTATTATTATTAATACCATGACACAGCTATTGTATTGCAGGGGAAAGGAACCCCAAGAGTCACCACTGTTCTGTTCCTTATGGAGACGATCCCCATTCCAGTGTCCTCTCTCACCCACCTTTCCTTCAGGGCTTCACCTCCAGAATATTCTCTGCCTTCTTTCCCATCCCAGGTTGCCTCTGTTTAGGCAGGAAAGCGAAAACCGGCTTCAGCATTGTCGTGGATCTCGGCTTTGCACCCTTGACTTTGTTGTTGTTCTTGCTCTTTTGCAGAATCCTTGGTTCCTGTACCAGCCTAATGCAGGCCATTCAGATCCTGGTCGTGGCCTCGAAGGAGCTGCAGAGAGAGATAGTGGAGAGTGGCCGGGTAGGCGTGGGTGAGGGCCCTGGGCAGAGCAGACGTTGGTTACACTGGTCACTGAGTCCCAGCTCGCTGAGAGGCTGAGTCTACTCCCTACACCTTTAGCTAGGTGTGTGCCGTCCAGCCATGTGTGTCCAGCTGAGGGTACAGCTGCCACTCCCATGGACGTCAGCAAATGCCATGGAAAGAAGCTGGGGCACAGCCAGGTCCCCTGAGGGCAGCGAGCCAGAGCCTCCGGCGGCAGGCTCATTCCCTCCAGCCGATGTCACTGGAACCTACTGGGGAAAAACTGTGCATTGCACATCTGAGCCCCCAGAGGAGGAAGTGAGGACTTTAGAAACTGGGCAAGTCAGAAGCACCAGCCTGGTGCCAACTTTCCACTGTAGGCTCTGCCGTGCCCCTCTCTTTTCTTTTTTTTTTTTTGGTTGTGCAGCATGGCAAATGGGATTTAGTTCCCTGACCAGAGATCGAACCTGCAGCCCCCTGCAGTGGAAGCTTGGAGTCCTAATCACTGGACCCCACCAGGGAGGTCCCTGCCCTGTCTTGCCAGCAGCAGTTTCCTGGGTGATTCAGACAGACTCTCCCTCCGTCACTTGTTGACAGCGTCACTTCAAGTTTCTCATTCCTTTGCTGGCATCATCACCCTCTCTTTTCCTTTCTCATATCCCTGTGGGCAGCTGCTGCTCAGGAGACGGTGGTCCAGGGAGTGGGTTATGAGCCTGAAAACAATCGTATAAAGAACAAAGCCACATCTGCTTTGGTAGTGCTTTTTATCAGTCTGAGAGGTGATTTTGTGTGTGTGCGTGTTTAGCTGTGTTTGACTCTTTACGGCCCCATGGACTGTAGCCCGCCAGGCTCCTCTGTCCATGGGATTTTCCAGGCAAGAATACTGGAGCGGGTTGCCATTTCCTACTCCAGGGGATCTTCCCAACCCAGGGATCAAACCCAGGCCTCCTGGTTTGGCAGGCAGATTCTTTACCAATAGCACCACAGTTTTCTGCCCCTAAAAAGAGAACAAGGGACTGATCTAGGAGTACCTGTAGATTCTCAGGCTGTTGGGTATTCCAACAGGAATTCCAAGTAGGAATTTTTTTTTCTTTCAGTTTTATTTGGATATAATTGATGTATGATGCTGTGTACAGAGTAACTGTTTGACTTACACATATGAAGTGATTATCACAGGAAGTTTAGTGAGCAGCCATCATCTCTTATAGATGCAAAATGAGAGAAACTGAGAAAAGCTTTTTTTTCCTTGTGATGAGAATTGTTAGGATCTATTCTTGAAAGTAAAGTGTTAGTCGCTCAGTCACATGCGATTCTTTGCCACCCCATGGACTGTAGCATGCCATGCTCCTCTGTCTGTTGGATTCTCCAGGCATGAATACAGGAATGGGTTGCCAGTATTCAGGGGGTCTTCTCCAGGGGATCGTCCCAGTCCCGGGATCAAACCCAGGTCTCCTGTATTGCAGGCAGATTCTTTACCATCTGAGCCACCAGGGAAGCTCTGATTTACTCTTAGTAGCTTTCATACATAATACATAGCTATGTGTTCACTATATTTATCATGTTGTACATTACGTCCCTAGTACCTTTGACTGCCTTCCTCGAATTCCCACTCCTCTGATCCCTCATAAATAATTTTGTTTATAATATCTATTCACTTGGCTGCACTGGGTCTTAGTTGCGGCATATGGGATCTAGTTCTCCGACTGTGGATCGAACCTGGGCCCTTTGCATTGGGAGCATGGAATCTTAGCCACCGGACCACCGGGGAAGCCCCAGAAATTTTTCTTTTTAATCACTGACTGTGTACTCACTGTCCTTTTCTGGCAAATCACGAATAGCAACTAGACTCCCCTAAAATAAGTTATTTGTATGTGAATAGTTGTTTTTTTGTTGTGTGTGTTTGGATCACTTACGAAGTCTTTATTGAATTTGTTACAATATTGCTTCCGTTTTAAGTTTTGGTTTTCTGGCCACAAGGCATGTGGGGTCTTAGCTCCCCGAGCAGGGTTTGAACCTGCATGCCGTGCATTGGAAAGCGAAGTCTTAACCACTGGACCATGAGGGAAGTCCCAATATATATTTTCTTATATATACAAGATAGAGATATTGGGATGTAATGGAAATGCTATCAGCTTTGGAGTCAGAAAAGCCTAGGATTCGTTTCTGTTTATTTTCTGCGTATCCTAAGTGAAAGTATTTTTGCCTGTCTGAATCTTTGCTTTCTCATCTATAAAATGGGAATAATAATGTTCACCCCCTCAGAGTTACTGTGAAGATTGCATGGGATAATACATATAAAAAGTACCTGGCAGGTAGAGGGCACACAATAAAAGATCGCTGTTATTATTTTTCTCTTCCCCAGGGTACAGCATCCCCTAAAGAGTTTTATGCCAAGAATTCTCGATGGACGGAAGGACTTATCTCAGCCGCCAAAGCTGTGGGCTGGGGAGCCAGTGTCCTGGTGTAAGTATCTGTCCGGTCTAGGGCTCCTCACCTTCACCCCCATTCCAGTGATCCACCCCAGGGACCAACTCAGGGGAAAAATCTGGCCCCTAGAAATGGATTGCTGATAAGGACGTTAATAGAACTGAAAGTTTAGAAAGGAGTCTCGGTCTCCTGGGGCATCACAGGAGTGGGGCAGGCAGGCTGGGTTCCCAGTCTGCCAAGGTGATGGAAGTAGTCTCAGTGAGAGCAGAGGGGTTACAGCTGTCAGTTTCATAACCCATCTGGTCTCCTGACTCTCAAGAGACGCAGCTGATATGGTGGTACAAGGCCGAGGGAAATTCGAGGAGCTCATGGTGTGTTCACGTGAAATTGCTGCTAGCACCGCCCAGCTTGTAGCCGCCTCCAAGGTAGGATCTGTGATGGGATCCCCACGAGGGAGAGGGGTCCCCAGCGTCCGGATCGAATTCCTGATGATCTGAGGTGGAGCTTATGCAATAATAATAAAGTGCACAATAAACATGATGTGCTTGAAACACCCCTGAAACCACCACCACCCCCCAGCCCCCACCCTGGTCCATGGAAAAATTGTCTACCACGAAACCGGTCCCTGGTGCCAAAAAGGTTGGAAACAGCTGCCCCAGGACACTGTAAGGTCTGGGTAGGTTAGAAACCCAAACTGCGCCGCTGGCCCCAAGAACAGAGGTTTATCCAGCATCCAGGTAGGTTGAGTCTCAAAATTCTGCCTCCAGGGGTCTCCTAAAAGCCTTCGTTCAGCAGGGAGCCCCTCTACCCCGCTCTCCACATGCACTCCTCTTGGTTTCCTCACTTTTATTGCAAATGGCCGTTAGGGGTCCAGCCATGCCTACCCCTGAGCTATCATGCATTCAAGGAGCACTCAGATAAGAACAGTGCCGGCCCAGTTAGCTGGTTCCCTGGCTTGGCTCTGAGGTTCCACAGCCAATGTCTGCCTGTCCTCAAAAGGCTCCAGGTTCGAACCATTGCCCCAACTGATCCCAACACAAAGCTCATCACCAACATCCTTCCATGGGTTGTATAGTTCCCCGGGGAGTGTTCTTTTACTCTCCTTGTTTATTGTCCCCAAATTGGTTTTCACAACTGGAACGCTTTATCAAAATAGAGTGGAGAGAGAAGGTGGGATGATTTGAGAGAATACCACTGAAACACATACATTGCTACATGTAAAGTAGATAACCAGTAGGAATTTGCTATATGACACAGAGGACTCAAAGCCAGTGCTCTCTGACAACCTAGAGAGGTGGGATGGGGGGAGAGGTGGGATGGGGGGCTTAAGAGAGGGGGGAGGGAGGTTTTAAGGCATACAGCCATGTGTATACGTATGGCTGATTCATGTTGATGTATGGCAGAAAGCATTGCAATATTGTAATTATCGTCCAATTAAACATAAATTTTTCAAAAACCGGTTAAGTTAGAGTTCAAGGCCACCAGGCAAATAAGCCAGAAGTGATTTTTGATACTAAAGAGAGTGATGCCAGTGGTTGCCCCCATAGGGAGTGATTTTTGAGAAGTTCATGGGTGGCTACGGCAGAGCGCATATATTTGTCAAGAGCCATCAGGTGACTGTTGTGTGACCCTAAGTCTGCTTGGTCCTGGCAGGTGAAAGCTGATAAGAACAGCCCAAACCTGGCCCAGCTGCTGCAGGCTTCTCGGGCTGTAAACCAGGCCACCGCCGAGGTTGTGGCCTCAACCATTTCCGGCAAATCACAGATCGAGGACACAGGTAGGCTCTCAGAAGCCGAGCTTTTCTTCTCCATCATGTGTGGGTGGGTACATTCTTCTCCACCATCCCAATTTCCCACAGGCCGGCTTCCAAATTCTCTCTCATTTTTCTTCTTTGTACATTCCAACTTATTTTCTTGTAAGTTGAGACACCCCATGGGCATGCTATTTATAGCACTATATGGACAGGCGTTAGCTAGTTTTTCCATTGAGTCATTCCTCTGAATTCAGGGAAATGACCACCCCCCCAACCCCAGGCATGATTGTCTGTTAGGGGAGGGGGGGTGCGGCTCTGATCCTGGTTACCCTGTCTTCCTTCTACTCTACCCCTTACTTACATCCATGCATCTGTTGGTAAATGACAAACCAAGCATTTCAGCAGAACATCAGCATCGGCCACTTCGCAAGTAAGTGTCAGCTGGAGTATCATTCAGTAAGACCCTCCTTTTTCCATTCTCGCAGACAGCATGGACTTCTCAAGCATTACACTGACCCAGATCAAACGGCAGGAGATGGATTCCCAGGTAGGAACTCCATCAGTAAGTTGAATCAGACTGTTGCCTGTGAGACTGACCCCAAATATTATTTCCATGGGGAGAAGTCAGAGAGACTCGTGGGAGAAATGAATACAGCTATACATATCACCCCAAGAATGAACATAAATGATGCTGGAAGAAAACAGTGGAGGTGGAGATAGGTGATTAGGAAAGATCAGAATTGTAGGCGTGTAGCATTGACATATACACACTTGTTGTTTAGTCGCTAAACAGTTGTGTCTGGCTCTTTGCAACTCCATGGACTGTAGCCCACCAGGCTCCTCTGTCCATGGGTTTCTCCAGGCAGGAATACTGGAATGGATTGCCATTTCCTTCTCTGGGGATCTTCCCAACCCAGGGATTGAACCCGTATCTCCTGCGTTGGCAGACGAGTTCCTTACTGCTGAGCCACCAGGGAAGCCCATATATATATACACTACCATGTGCAAATTTAAGAGCTAGTGGGAAGCTGCTATATAGCATAGGGAGTTCAGCTCGGGGCTCTGTGCTGACCTAGCGGAGTAGGATTGGGAGTAGGGAGGAGGTCCAAGCAGAGGGGGAGACAGACAGACAGACAGACACACATATATACATATAGCTGATTCACTTCATTGTACAGCAGAAACTAATAAACATTGTAAAACAATTATACTCCAATTAAAAAAAATTTCCTAAAGTTAATGAGAAGGAATAACCAAGAACCAACCCTTCCTTTAGTGAGATTATACCTTTTCCTGCACAGTAATAACCCTAAGTTATACCAGCACCTCAAAGAGACCAGAACTGTTGTATTTGGTTTCTTCCTGGACTTACAGGGAACTGGGATTGAAAGATGGGTTGTAACTGGATTAGAATATATCATACAGATAGACTTAACATTAGAGTTGTCCTTTTTTTTTTTCCCCGTTTCTTTCTGTTATGTATTGAGATAGAGTTGATGAACAATGTTTTGTTAGTTTCAGGTGTATACATAGTGATATGATGTTTGCATGTTACCATGAAATGATCAACATAAGTCTAGTAACCATTTGTCTCCATACAAGTTATTACAATAATATTGACCATATTCTTTATGCTCTATATTGCATCCCTATGACTTATTTTACGACTGGAGGTTTGTACCTCTTAATACCGTCACTTATTTCTGCCCCCCTTCATTCTTGGAACTCCTGTTCTCTGTATCTGTGAGTCTCTTTTCATGTTGTTTTGTTTTTTAGATTCCTCATATAGGAGAGATTATACAGTGTTTTTCTTTCTCTAGCTGACTTATATCACTTATAAGACCTTCTAGATCCATCCGTATGTTGCAAATGGCAAGATTTTTTTTTAATAGCCGAGGGTGGCTCAGCAGTAAAGAATCTGCCTGCATTGCAGGAGACCTGGAGTCATAGGTTCAATCCCTCGGCCGGGAAGATCCCCTGGAGGAGGAAATGGCAACCCACTCCAGTAATCGTGCTTGGAAAATTCCACAGACAGAGGAGTGTGGCAGGCTACAGTTCATGGGGTCGCAAAGAGTCAGACATGACTGAGCAACTTTCACACACATTCAGTATGTTTTTAGTTAGTGATATATCAGAGGAATATGAGATAAGCTCTTCTCTTATTTAAGCATTGGTCATAAAGCATCATTCATTTTCAACAGAGGATCCCAGTGAGAAAGCCTGTGGGATAGATGGATGACCAGAGGGTGGAGAAATCAGAGCAGAGACAAGGGTGAAATTGAGGACTGGTTGAGCTATGGAAACAGCAGGCATAACAGAAAAGTCCCAGACCACAGAGGAAAGGGATTAGTCGACGTGAGACCATTCTCAGATCCCTGCTCAAAGAAAAGGCCAACTTTCCCCACAGGTTAGGGTGCTGGAGCTGGAAAATGAACTGCAGAAGGAGCGTCAGAAACTGGGAGAGCTTCGGAAAAAGCACTACGAGCTGGCTGGGGTTGCTGAGGGCTGGGAGGAAGGTGAGCCTGGCGGGGGCCCGCACAGCACGTGGGGGTGGGGGGAGGATGTGATGAGGGTCCTTCCCCTCCAGGAAAGCTGAACCAGGAACTTCTCCCTCCTCCCTGCACTCTCAGAGCCTCCCTTCTCTCTAGTGTTGAATGGCCTGAGAGCCCCAAACTGGGGTAGACTGGTGGACAGAAAGCTTTTGTAGTCACCTTTTAAAACCTAAACGTTGACTGGTGGCCACTCACTCACCACTATTTCCTTTCAGGCTTAGTTAACCTGGTTTTCTCCCCCAGGAGTTTTGTTTTGGGCCAGCATGCAGTTGAGTAGTGAATGGATGAATAGTGATTGGTGAAGACCCAGCAGACAGGGTTAGTGAGTTCCAAGCTTGTGGCTGCCTAGAACCAGTGATGGGTAGCCATGGCGAGAAATCGAAAGGAGTCAGGAACTAGAAACAGGGTAGAGTGGAGGAAGGTTTGGCCCACCAGCCCGGAAACTCCCAGTCACCCAGAATCTGGGCAGACTGCTTTTCTATACCTCCAAAGAGGCCAACTTGATCACAGCCAAGACGGTGATTCTTGTTGGGCTCTCCGGCTCTGGGAACCCACCAGATATGCCACGTGACCCGGGAGATGCAGTTACGATCATGTGTATTTCAGAGCCCAACCTGGCACCCGTGGTTGTTGGTTAGATGAATGCATGCGTGTATGAAACACTGAAACGGAAGTAACTTGTCTTTTAGGAACTGAAGCACCACCATCTACACTGCAAGAAGCGAAAACCGAAAAAGAATAGTCACACCGATGCCCCACATGTCAGAGTGTAAATCCTTGCTGCCCATCAATGCGTGTGTGTGTGTGTGTGTGTGTGTGTGCGCGCGCGCGCTCTGTCCCCAGTCACGGGCCAGACCCTGGGGGTCCACCCCAGGCCCGCCTAGGCCTTCCAAAGATTCCTTCCACAGGGACACCCTCTGTGTTCCAGCCCGTGATCTGGGTTCTGTCACAGCCCCTCCCCCAGAGGTGGGGGGACTAGGGCCACCGCAACAGAGGGGACCTCCTTCCTGGAAAGTCCTGCTTTACCCCCAAACATCATGTCCTTGTTTGGTGGGAGGTGGGGGCGCTGCTGAGCTGGAGAGGAAAGATCTTACGCCTTTTCTCTTCTGTCTTACTTTCAGTCTTTTCCGTTTCATCATTTGCACAAACTTGTGAGCACCGGAGGGCTGATGGATTCCAAACCGGGACCCGACCCTGAGTCTGCGCAGAGTCGGAAGGAGAGCAGAAGTGTCCTGGCAGAGAATGCCAAGGCTGTGTCCCCTCTTTCGGCAGTTACATGGATTCCCACTGCTTCTTATGGTGGTTGGCTGGGTTGTATTTTTTTCTTTTTTCTCCCCAAGTTCTACTCACATAGCCAACTCTCCCAGGGGATTGCTCCTGAAGCCCTGGGCTATCGCGGGCCCCCTAACCACAGCAGCTCACAGCGACGGTGCTGACCAGGCTTCGCCGTGGTGCTCCCCGCCAGCCCCCGAGCCGAGTGTCCTGCTGAACGAGTGTGGGTCCACCGAGGCCACTCCCCGGGGTCAAGCGGAAGGAGAGCGAGTGCCTTGCCTTCTAAAGCTGGAGCCCAGCCGAAAGCCTCTGCCCACCTTCACAAGGGAAGGGGATGACAGAGAGAGGGAGAGGAAGGATGCACACAGCCCAGGTCTTCAGGAGTCCCACCCATCTCAGAAACTCCCCGTGACTGGGCTAAAAAACCTTTACCCATGCTTGAACCCAGCCAGTGAGAGTTGCCACACTTCCTGCCCCTTGCCCCCAAAGGAATGTTCCATGGTCCCTTGAGTTGGCACCTCCCTTCAGACACAGGCAGGGCCCTAAGGGGGAACAGGTGAGGGGTTTCCAATCCCTTTCTGCCTTGGCATCCTCTTGAATCTCAAGGAGATAGTTCCATGTTCTACCTAATCAATAGACCCAGAAGATCAGGCCACCTTGCTCCCAACAGGAAAGAACCCTGGGCTTGGTTTGGTACCTTGAATATTTATGACTAACCTCCATTAGCAGCAGCAGCAGCAACCACAACATACAAAGAAAATGCTGGCAGCAGCTGAGTTTTCAGGTGTGACTATGGCAAGGCGTGCATCGCTGCCCTGGGACATCTCTCCTCAAGAGGCAGAAACAAGGTCAAGATCTGGTCTGTTAACCAGTTTGAATCTCGAAGCAAGAACGTTCTCAGAGAATCTGGGTCAGGGAAAACCAGAAAGGGGGGGACCCCTGGCTCCGACTCCTTCCAACTACACGTCCCGGGCCCTCGCTGCCTTGCGGACAGAATGAAGGAGGAGGATGAATTAGAAGAAGGAGGCGCGTGAATGGTGTCCTGGAGATGGGCAGCCTGCCAGCACTTCTTCACCTCCAGATGGACCCTGGCGTTTAAGTGACCTTCCCATCTTGGACAGACGATGTCTTCCTTCGTTTATCTGTAGCAGTTCATAGATAGTAGCCAACAAGCACGTCCCAGGACCTGTCCCCAAGGACCGTAGCTAAGTGCAGCTACGTGACAGGTTGTGAGACCCATGTTTGATCACTGTGAATCCACTCTCCCTCCTTCCTACCCCCTGCCCACCGCCAACTCCCTCTCTCTGCATTTTCTCAGTCAGGCACTCGAAGAGCTGCCTCCCATTAGCTCAGATTAAGAGACTCAGATGTGTGCTCTCCAAACTGGGCTAAAGAGGCAGCAGCTGTCGAAACTGACCGGTCTTACGTTGACTGCTGCTTTGTGCTCAGCTATGGATATTTTTCCATCCAAGGCTCAAATGGAATGATGTGTATGTAGCATCCTTGGCCCCGCTGTACCAGTTAAGCCGATTGGTGTGTTCTCAGCGTGGGTCAGCATTTCCAAAGGTGGCTGGTCCTTGCTTCCAGCATCCCAGCCATTCAGATGATTGTGCTCCAAATTACCAAGGAGGAGAAAATGTAGTGTATTGAGCCAAATTAGGCTTCTCTAAATGACCCTCCCTCTAAAAAGAAGCCACAGTAATTTTTAAAACTTGCACGAGTTTTTCCAGAGTAATAAAACAATTATGGAAGTACTTAAACAGGAACACAGGCTAGTTCTGTCTCCCATGAAGAAATATATGTCAGAATTGGTATAATTACTTTCATAAGCACTTGACTTAGAAGCTAGCCCGTTCTCCAGCTGAAATCAAAATGTACCTTGGCTGTTCTAAAAATGAGCGTGTTATTCTGGGTGTGAAACACCTTGATTAAACCATTAATCACATCCTAGGGCTAAAAATGGACCTCACAGCCTTTTAGTCACTGAGTATCATTTGTGACTGGAGTCTCATGGGTCAGTGTAAGTGGGTCACAGCAAGGCAGGACAACAACAAGGAAATGGCTTAGCGCTAATGAAATAGAGCCATATCCATTACCTTAATTGTATAACACAGTGTCTCATCTCTAGAGTTAGGGTATGAGTGTACCTGATGAGGAAAAGAAAAAATTCAAAGACCTGCTTTTGTGGGGTTAAACTCCTGAGCATGGAGTTTACGTGAGACTCAAATTTAGATTGTTTGCTAATTCTGCTGCCCACGGGATCCCTAACCCAGTGGCTGGAAGAACCACTGCCCAGAGCATCCTTTCTTGGAAGTGTCTGAGCTGCCAAGGCGGACAACAGGCTTTACACCAGGTACCATGGGGGTCACAAACACGTGTCATTCAGTCCGGTTGATTTGTTTCTGCCTCCTGCTAAGGGGCTGGTTCTGAGCTCACACCTGGCTGGTGCCTGCTTCTTGGCCAGCTCCTTAGTCTAGAGGGGTCTCCTGGCTCCACTTACCTTGGTCTTTAATGAGTGGTGAAGTTCTTGCTACCTTCTGCCACCTTTCCACGTCTCTGGAAATCCTTCCCGCCGATGAAAGCCTTTGGTCCTGGCATTGGCCTTCTACCTAGACCGGCTTTGCCTCTCTCTGCCATCCTCGGTCCTCCAGAGACCACACTGCCTGTCACAAAGAAAACCACCACCTCGGGCCTGCCAGCCACCAACTCAGCAAACCGGGCCAGCTGTCTGCTGCTCACATCTCCCAGGTCCAGACCAAACACGGGGTCAACAACCCAGAGTGGTGACTCAGTCTCCCACCCCAGGAGCCAAAGCAACATGAAACAATTGGTCAAACATCGTTGGGTCCGATTCTGAGAGTAGGTGATTTCTAGACATGTCTTTCAGGTGACCCTCAACTACCTCAGGTTTGAAGGCCCTAAATTAAGCTGATTACTACTCATGGGGACAGACCGAGGAGGGTTCGGAGAAATCTTGGTGATAACGCACTTGTCTCAAACTTACAACAAACTCTGTCACGTTTAGGTTTGCAGGGGTGGGGTTGGGTTTGTTTTTTTCTTCTGTTTTTAACCTTTTCCCCTAATTTTCCATTAGACTAGTTCCTACCAATGAATTTCATTTTTCACTGAGTGCCTACCTTCCCAGGGCAGGTAGCCACTGGCTTTGTTTCCTTCCAGCAGTACTTTTATTATGGGTATTAAGACTTTTCTTTGTATAATACATTGCATCTGTGTTTTCAATTTTTCAATAAATACTTCAACCTGGCAGTGGAGAGTATTGATGATAACTGACCAGCCAAACTGGTTTTGAGATCTGGAATTCCAATGAAAAGCCTCCATTCATATCCCAAGGTTCACTGAAGTGTGCAACTATCACATTTCCTTTGCTCCTTTATTTATTTATTGGCTGTGCTGGGTCTTTATTGCTGCCTGTGGGCTTTCTCCAGTTACAGCGAGCAGCTTTTCTCTAATTGCAGTGCGCAGGCTCTAGAGAACATGGGCTTTAGTAGTTATGGCACACGGGCTTTGTTGCCCCATAGTATGTGGGATCTTCCCAGACCAAGGATCAAACCTGTGTCCCCTGCATTGACAGGCAGATTCTTAACCATTGGACCACCAGGGAAGTCAGTCTTTGCTACTTTAGAGAAAAGAAACATTAATTCGCACCCTGTAGAACTTTTCCATCCTCTGCATGATTTCTTGTCCTTGGGAATGGTCAGCATCAAGTGTGCAATATAGTATTGGAATTTATTTCGAAGACCAGGTCTCTGCCTGAAATCCAGGGTCTCAAGCTATGGATATTTTCTTCTTCATCCTAGGATAGGTATGTTCAGGCTCTTCTGCCCATGGAATTTCCCAGGTAAGAATACTAGAGTGGAGTACCACTTCCTACTCGAGGGCATCTTCCCAACCCTGGGATCAAACTCGATTCTCATCTCCTGCACTGGCAAGCAAATTCTTTACCACTATCACCACCTGGGAAACCCCTGTCCATCCTAAACCCATGAAAATCATCTGCCATCTTAAAGTTGCATGGGATGAATTCTGCTCAGGACCAGAGCTGCGAGTCATAAGGGGATTGAGAGCAAGCCAGTCACAGCTACCAGAGGATTTATAGAGGGAGCTGACAGAATGGGACTGGCTGCATGATGACTTTCCTGTCTGTAACTTAATGCTGCCAGCGTATTAAGCCAAGGGGACCTACCAGGGGGGGAGGAAGGTGGGGAGGACCTGGGGTTGGCAAGGAGGAGAATTGCCCAAAACGATTCATCAAGTACAGAGAGAAGGAAGCAAGTGGTTTTTGTGTTTAGCCAATCTGTCGTGTCCAACTCGTGAAGACTCTATGGACTATAGCCTGCTGGGCTCCTCTGTCCACGGGACAGGAGGACAAAGAATCAGGATAATGGGAGGAAAGTGGTGCATGTGCACAGGGCAGAAGATGATCTGGATAAATACAGAGGCACCCTTGCCTATGAATGCATTTTGTTTCGTGGTTTTGGCCGCAGTTTTGCAGCATTTGCATGCTGGCAGCCACACGGTGTGGCCAAAAATTTAAAAATAAAGCCAGTGAGGCTTAATCTTGCTCACCATGGTTGTCATCAGCCTCTAACACATTACCCAATGTAAGTTTAAACATTATGGAGTGAATGAACTCTCTTTTTACACCACACTTACGTTTTATGTATCCATTCGTTGCACATGCTCTGAAATGCTTAATGAAGCCTTTCTATTCCCTGTCATCTAAAGATACTTTCACATATTCATTGTTCCCTTTTCAAGGATCTACTCTACCAGGCGCTGGGAACACCATGGAAAGCAAAAGTAGATGTCCGCACTACTGGAGCTTACAGGCTATTGTTCAGTCAGTCATGTCCAATTCTTTGCAACCCCGTGGACTGCAGCATGCCAGGCTTCCCTGTCCTTCACGAACTCCTGGAGCTTGCTCAAACTCATCTTCATTGAATCGGTGATGCAAGCCAACCATCTTGTCCTCTGTCGTCCCCTTCTCCTCCTGTCTTCCATCCTTCCCAGCATCAGGGTCTTTTCTAATGAGTCAGTTCTTTGCATCAGGTGGCCAAAGTATTGGCTCTTTAGCTTCAGCATCAGTCCTTCCAATGACTATTCAGGGTTGATTTCCTTTAGGATTAACTGGTTTGATATCCTTGCAGTCCAAGGAACTCTCAAGACCACAGTTCAAAGCATCAGTTCTTCTGTGCTCAGCCTTCTTTATGGTCCAACTCTGACAGCTCAGTTGGTAAAGAATCCACTTGCAATGCAGGAGCCCCAGTTCAATTGCTGGGTTCCGCTGGAGAAGGGATAGGCTACCCACTCCAGTATTCTTGGGCTTCCCTTGTGGCTCAGCTGGTAAAGAATCTGCCTGCAATGTGGGAGACCTGGGGTCGATCCCTAGGTTGGGAAGATCCCCTGGAGAAGGGAAAGAATAGCCAGTCCACTATTCTGGCCTGGAGAATTCCATGGACTATGGGGTTGCAAAGAGTCAGACACGACTG